GTACCCGTACCCTTCCCGTTCCGGTCCCGGTCCGTCCCGTACCGTACCGTACCCTACCCCTACCCCCTACCCCCCTCCCCCCTCCCCCCTTCCCCCCCCCCCCCACCTACCAAAGGCGCCCTTGCCGAGAGCGCCGGTAATCTTGTAGCGCGAGTCGACGTCAAAGACAATTGAGTCTCCGATGGTGTATCGGACCTTGTTGGCCGCCATGGTCGAGGGTGCGGAGACAAGCGTTGCGCCGCGGCTGGGCTTAGGCGAGTTTGGCGTTGGTGGTTGGTTTACGAGGCTACACTGTCTCACTGGAGCCACTTAGGCCATCATCGAGGCCTCGAGCTCGCGGAGCTCACGCTCCTCGTCAGTCTCGCCGGCGGCAGCAACAGGGGTGTGTGTCGGTACGTTGGGCGTGGCAGGGAGCGCGACGGACGGCAGCGAGGTCGACGGCGCCTCAACTCCCAGGAACTCGTCGTCGAGCGCCTGCTGCTCCATTGCCTCCAGTTCGGCCTCTAGGTCGTCCTCGTCCATGTCCAGGCCGCCCAGCGGCTGAGAGAGCGCCTCGCCGATCTCGGCGGCAATGTCCTGCTGCTCACGGACCTCGTCGAGCGTGTCCTCCACGTCGTCGATGGTCATGTTGTTGTGTGCCTGCCGCAGGCCTGCCGCACCCGCCCGCGCAGCCTCAAGAACCTGCACGTTGGTTGACGCCATCTCCAAGCTCATGATCTGCTGTTCCAGCGTCATCCGCGAGCCCGCCAGCTGGTTGAGCTGGTTCTCGTACACTGCCGTTTGCGCCGCCGCTCGCAAGTGAGTCACTGCACATCCTCCCTGCCTCGTCTCCCTCCCCTCCCCCTTCCTCTCCCTCTTCGCCTTTCTGCCTACCCTTCTTGCGCTTGAGCGCCGCCAGCGCCTGTCGCCGGTTGGTCTTGGAGTACTTCTTGGCCGTCGCCAGCTCCTTGTTGATCTTGGACTCAATGTGCGCCTCGCGCTTGTCCTGCACCATGCTCCGCCCATGCCCCGCTCGGTAAGTCCCCTGCACCCACCCTTACTCCCTGCCTTCCCCTCTTTACATCCTCTCTCACCCTCTCTTTCACCACTTCCGTCCCTCCTTCCAATCTCCACGCCCACATCCGGCCACCTCCGTCACACTCGGAATTCCAACCACAGCGTCGCAATTGGGGGGCGGCAGCAGCAACAGGGCGCGGGCGGCGGCCATACCGTCCCCCCATCCCCACCAACGTTACTACCCGAGCCATGAATGCCCCCCTCCCCCTCTCTTCCCACTCCCCCCGCCCCCTCCCCGTATCCTCCCCCGCTCCCCTTTCCCTTCCCCCCCCCCCCCACCCCCCCACCTCTGGTGGCACGTGCGATGCCATGGGCCGAGTGTTCCTCACAAGACAGAAGGCCATGGCCACGCAGGCCATTGAAGGAGGGAGGGGCAGCGGGTGGGAGACCTGCTGTAGTCGGGTACGTACAAGAGTGTCCAGTGTCTCCCGAAGCTTGATGATCGAGTCGCGCGGCGTCGGCTCGGCCTTCTTCTTGCCGAACAGGTTGAACATGGCGGGGAGAGAACGAGTGCAGTGTTGGCTGTGGAGCTCCGGGTCGGTGGGCCAGCCTGGAACTGGCCGACTCGGGGCCATTCCGCGGACTGCGGCTGCGACACAGATGTAGTGCGGAGGTTCTCTGGAGAATTCATCGGCCTGGCACGGGTGCTTGCAAGGTACGAGGCGGTGGGAAGCAAGCGATTGATGTCGGTATCATGACAGCGTCCACGGCAGCGGCCAGTGTCGAAGCCATCGAAGGCGGGCGCCGGCGAGAGGCTCGCCATCACACGCTGCGGCGAGTGAGACGCGCTGGCGGGGGGGAGGTAAGGCTTAGGTGGCAACACTCGAGTCGACGCAGGGCGAGGGCAGGCGCGCGGGCAGGAATGGCGAGCGAGGCGCGTGCGAACGCAAGCGAGTTGGTGGTCGAGGCGGTGATGACTGGCGGCAACGGGACGCCCGGGGCGGTGTGCGGCTCGCCGTGCGGGGCGCTGGTGGCATACGCGGCGGGCCCGGCGGTGGCGGTCTGGCCGCGGGGCGGGGGCGTAGAGGCGACGCTGACGTTCCCTTCGAAGCATGCAGCGCGAGTGACGGCTGTGGTGTGTCCGGACGCTTCGACGGTGATTGCTGGCAATGCGGCCGGCGTGGTCTTTGGCTGGCGGTGGTCGCCGGAGAAGCGAGTGTGGCGGGCGGCACTGCGCAAGGCACTCTACGTTGCGGCGGGCAAGAAGGATGCCAAACCTGTGGCGGCGCTGGCGGTTGGCGGGACCACGACTCGGCGGCTGGTTGCGGCGACCGACGCCGGTGGCGCGTTGGTTGTGTGGGAGGTGCCGGCGAGCGGATCGACGGGCTGGCCTGAGGTCTGCCGGACAACTGCGGCTGTTTCGGCGCTGGCGATCTCGCTAGCGGTGTGCAACGTGGGCGAGCGGGTTCTGGTGGCTGCAGGACGAGTTGACGCGCGGCTGGGCTTGTATCTGGTGGCAGACGGGGCGCTCATTGCGCTGCCGCCTCTGGTTGGCCACGAGGATTGGGTCTCTTCGCTGGCGTGGCACGGGCCCTCTGGGCTGCTGGCCTCGGGTTCGCAGGACGCTCGGATCCGAGTGTGGCGACTCGAGTTGGGCGACGAAGCTGTACCGGCTAAGAGCGTGGGTGCGGCCGTGCTCGAGGCGGTCATTGGCGAGCAGGTGCTCCGCATCCGGCTCGAGTCAGTCTTGGCAGGGCACGATGGGTGGGTCACCGGCCTTGCCTGGCAGCCGGGCCCCGAGCTTGTTCTGGCGTCGGCGTCGATGGACAAGTCTGTGGCGCTCTGGGGCCCGCCGGCGAGCGCAGCCGGGGTGTGGGCCACGCTATGCCGGATGGGCGAGCTCGGTGGCAACACACTCGGGTACCGGGCGGTTGCTTTGCCGGCGCTGGGCGTGTGCTGAGCATGCTGCACCATGGAGCGCTGCACGCGTGGGAAGTGGCTGACGTTGCAGCGCCGGTCCCGGTCCCAACGCCGTCGGGCCACTCGGGAAGTGTGACCGACGCGAGCTGGACACCGGACGGCAAGTTTGTGGTCTCGGTCTCCAAGGACCAGACCACCCGGTGGTTCGGGCGAGTTACTTCGGCGTGTGGCGCATGGCACGAGGTCGGCCGGCCGCAGATCCATGGCTTTGACCTGACTGCAGCCGTTGTTGTCCCGCACACCGCGTACACATTGGTCTCGGGCGCCGAGGAGAAGATCCCTCGGGTCTTCCGTGCGCCGCGCACCTTTTTGGCGGGCCTTAACCGGCTGTGTGGAACTGAGTTGGCCATCGACGACCAGCTGCCGCTCGGTGCCAACGTGCCTGCGCTCGGTCTCTCGAACAAGGCTGTTGTCGATGGTGGCGAGAGTGCCTGTGCCGACGCCGGGAACTTTGAGTCGGAGATGCCTGTCCCGTTTGCGGCGGTCGAGGTTGGCGACCCGCCGCTGGAGGAGCATCTCATTCAGAACACGCTTTGGCCCGAGGTGCACAAGCTGTACGGCCACGGGTATGAAGTGTACAGCCTGGCGACGTCGCCGTGCGGGCGTCTGGTGGCGTCGTCGTCCAAGGCATCGTCGGCAAGCGCAGCGGGCATCCGGCTGTGGTCGACGAGCAGCTGGCGCGAGGCGTGTGAGCCGGTTAGCGGGCACAAACTGACGGTTGTGGCCATGGCGTGGTCAGCCGACGGCAAGGTGCTTGTCTCGGCCTCGCGCGACCGCACGTTTGCTGTCCATGACGTTGACGTCGCCGACGACGGCAGCGCGGCGGTCTCGACCCGGATGGTGGTCTCTGCGCATGCACGCATCATCTGGGACGTCGCGCTCTGTCCCACTGGAGCGCGTCTGGCGACGGCATCGCGAGACAAGACGGTCAAGCTCTGGTCGCTGACCGATGGCTCGCTGCTGGCGACGGTGGTCAAGGCAAGCGCGCCGGCTACCGCGGTTGCGTTCTCGCCGCTCGGCGAGCTGGTTGTTGGCCTCGAGACAGGCAAGCTGACATGCTACCGCGAGGACGAGAGCGGCGCATGGTCCGAGGCCTGGTCCGCCCCAAGTTTGCCACCCACTCTGCTCGGGTTAACCGACTCGCGTACCATCCGTCCGGCACGCGGTTGATCTCGTGCGGCAACGATGGTAGCGTTCGGATCTGGCGTCGCTCGGCGGGCGAGGGGGACGGCGAGCAGTAGTGGCGTGGCGAGCAGCAGCAGAAAGTGACAATGAATGATGTTGCGGGTGACGACGGGCGGCGGGCGGGCGGGCGGGGCGACGGGCGACGGGTGGCGACAGGCGACGACACTTGTTTGTTCGTGCAACATGGCCGACTCTCCCGCGCAGACGCTGTCAGAGCTCACGGGCTTGCCGCAGGAGCAGGCCGCCGCATACCTGGACATGGCCGGTGGGTCGGTGGAGGCTGCGTATGCGCTGTATGCGTCGATGCTGGAGCCGGCGGGCGGAGGCAGCGATGGCGGTGGAGGCGGCGACGGCGGCGACCTTCCATTTGCGAAGCTCCCGTTCCGGTCACTGGTGTGGCCCGACGGGACGACGGAGCTGCCGGAAGCGTGGCTGGTGCAGGGCTTTGCGCTGGAGGCTCCCGGGCGCGGGATGGTGCAGCCGAAGAACGGGCCTTGTGGCCTTGTGGCGGCGGTCCTGGCCGGCGTGGTGGCCAACAAGCTCGCAGGCGTGGTTGCCGGGACGCAGGCGGCGGTCGAGGACTGGACCGACGCCGAAGCGCTGGCGGCAGTGGCGCAGATTGTGGTCCAGGCACGGACTGATGACAGCGCACCAGTTCACGTGGCGCGGTGGGCAGGCGAGGTGGGCGAGGCCATCGAGTGTGACCAAGTCTCAGCCGACGAGGTGGCGGCCACGCTGGTGCAGGCGGCTGAGGCCTGGCTGGGCGCCGGCGGCGCGCTGCTGCTGCTGTACTCGCTGGTGGCGACGCGGGGTGAGGCGCAGGTGCGGGCGGACATTGCGGCGGACGCCGGCGAGCCGCCGCTCATTGTGGGTCCTGCGCACCTGTGCTCGATGGAGCTGCTCTCGTTGGTTGTCCGTGGCTCTGCAAGCGGCAACGTGACGGCCTTCCATCCGCTCTCGCGCGCACCAGCTGACTGGACCGTTCCGCTCGGCTTTGGGCTCCTTTCCAAGTCGGAGCTGGAGATGGGGGTGCCTGTGGCGGACAGCCTCAAGTCACCGCGGCTGCCGGTGTGGATCCTGCATGGCGGCGACCACTTTACGACAGCCTGGCTGGATGTGGCGACGTTTGCGGCGATGCCCGAGGCGGCGGACTGCGTGCCGCCGGTTGGCGAGGATGCGCCGGTCCCATTCAACCTGGTCCACTGGAACGGGCTGCCGCCGGCTGGCCCGAGGCGGGCTGTGGTCCGCCTCACGCCGCGGACAACCGGACGAGCGGTGGCGGGCAAGGCACCCAAGGAGCTCCGCGACTCTTACGTGAAGAAAGTGCCTGGCGAGATCGATTCGATTGTGCAGGCGCATCCGGACGACAAGAAGAACGCTCCCGATGCGTGGAACACATGGCGATACGAGGTAGTGCTTGCGGTCGACGAGCCGGACGTGGAAGGAGTGGAGCCCAACCCGAACGCCACGCCGCCGCCGACCTTTGACCTTGGCGAGCCACCTGTTGACACTGCCTGGCGGTGCGCGTCGTGCTATCGCGGGCGGTACAAGACGTTCTGCTTTGGCCTCAACGAGGCGGGTGCCACTGCCTGTCGCCACTGCGACAAGCCGATGGCCGACGCGGGTTGGTCACTGTGGATGCCGTACGATGATCTGCCCGGCTCTCAGCAGAGCACGGCCACGAATCGTCACGCACCAAACATCTACATTGTGCTCCGCCGCCGGTGGCCAGGCGCCAAGGTGGCCATGGTCGACGAGGACGAGGCCGCGCGCTGGCCGTCAGTCTAGCTGTGAAGAAGCAAGTGGTGCTCATGGTATTGTTACTCGTCGGTGTCGTCCGAGTCGGTCACGGTCGTGGTCGGCTCGTGCGACGACGACGACGGCCGAAGCTCGTACTCGGCGTATGTCTGTGCGTGACTCATGATGAACTCGACCTCTGAGACGCCAGTGTGAGGATCCCAGACTGCCGGCTCGGCGCCCGCCTTGGGATGGCGGACTCGCCACCAGGACTCGACGCCCTTGCGGTGATCAAACTCATAGTACGTCCACATGGCGCGGATGATGGTGGGCGGGACGGCCGGCTTGGAAATGAAAAACGTGTTCTCGATAAGGGTGTTGCCGGTGAGGAGCGCAGCGCAAAGCGACTTGAACCAGCCAGGGACAGACGGGCCGCCCCACGACGCCCGGTTGGGGAAGAGGAACCACATGCGCCAGTCGAGCCGTGGCATATGAATCGGAGCATAAACCGGAGCGCGGGTGAGCGAGCCGGGCTTGTACTTGAACTCATACATGTGCCACGTCTTGCCGTTGTCGGACGAGCCAAACAAGTGGACTTCGGGTCGGTCTGTGGTCATGCGGGCAAAGAGACCGTAGCCATTGATGACGCGAAGCGGGGCAACGATAACGTACAGCTCGTACGCCTTGTCCGAGGCGGCAAAAAGGAGCTGGCTCGCGCGCCAATCAGAAGGCAAATACTCGAGCGGATCATAGTCGCGAAAGGCGTTGCGGATCTGGACGAGCGAGATGCCCGAAGCCACGACGGTGAGGCCAGCCCGACACGCGAGGCTGACGAGCGCCAGGACCAACCCCAGCCAGGAAGTCGGTGTTGCAGCTGCAGCCACCTGCGTTGTCCGTGCCGCAGACGCCATCGGGAGCGAGGAGTCCCACACAGGAACAATGCATAGGACTGCTGTGAGGTAGTTGAAGAATCCGTAGTTGCCCGAGGCGACAATGCCTGCCTGGAGAGCGGCAAAGGCAAGAAAGGCGAGCGCTGGAGGCGTGGGATGTGGAATCAAGACTAGAAACGGGACTGCCAGCTCAATCACGTGGTTGCCGACAACCGATGCGGCGTGGAGCGCGTGAGGTGCCATGGCAGCAAAGTACCCGCCGCGATGGGGCAGCGGCTGAGTAAAGTGATGATAGTCCATAGCTGTGAGCTGGCGCCACGTCGGGCAGCGCGATGAGAGCTTGACGACGCCTGACGAGAAGAGGAGCTTGAACACAAGGAGCGCGCCGTAGTACGAGACGAGGCGCGACGGAGCAACCGACGACGCAGCGACGGCGGCGTAGACGCCGGCCTCGACAAGGAGTGTGTCCCATTGGAATGAGCAGAACGACTGGCAAGCGACAGTGAGCGAGAGATACAGGAGAGCTAGTGCACCAAAGACCGGCGCAGTGATGAGTGGCATCCACGCGAGCGGCACCGGGAGCGGCGCGGCCGGCACGAGGACAGCGGCCCAGAGCAGGGTTGAGACTGCTGCCAGAGTCTTGCCAGCAACAACGTGCGCGTCAAGCGCAGCGTCGAGTGAAAGCCGGGTCGTCACGCCTGGCCACGCGGTGTAGATCCAGAGTAGCGTCGGCGACCGCTGCCATGTGGTGAAGATCCAGGCCGCCGACGCGCGCCAGGTCGCCGGCGGTGCGCCGGCAGCCTTGGCGGCGACAAACGGCGGCGGGCTTCGTGGGCGGGCAAGGATACGGCCGATCGGTGTCAGGCCGCGAGACGAAGCTATCGCAGGGAGTTCGGAGCCGAGACAGGCAAAAGCGGCAAGGAAGACGAGTGAGAGGCCGAGGCTGAAGACGGCCCGGGCTGCGGTGGCCGAGGCCGAGGCGTTGTCGAGGGCGACTAGCGCCGAGAGAGCGGTCCATCCCCATGCGAGGAGCATGGTGTGTGCATAAGGGGGAGAGGGGGGTTGGGTGGGAGAGGGGGCGGGTTTGGGGCTGAGGGGTGGAGTGGAGTGGGGATAAGTTGGGGTCGTTGCAGAACGGTAGGGCCGGGGCTTGCCCGGGCGTGGCGGCAGGACTCGCTGGTGGCCCAGCACACGACAAGGATGGGAACTAGATATCGCAGGGGGGGGGGGGGGGCTCGGTTTACTGCGAGTACGACGATGCGCCGTCCGAGTATAAGCACGAGTACGGATGCCCCGAGTACGAGTAGGGGCGCGCGTTGCCAGAGTAAGAGAGGGTTCCCTCCGAGTAGGGCGGATAAGAGTACGAGACGTCGTCGCGATCTGACGAGTAGGAGCGAGGCGAGGACGAGCGGCACGATCGAGAAGATGAGCTGGAGGAGGCCGAGTCTTCATCGGCTGAGCAGTGAGAGGGCGGTGAGGAAGAGGCGGGGCGCGGAGCCGAGGGCGGTGGTGAGCCGGCCTCGCCGACAACGACGTCGACCGAGTGGGGACCGGAGAGATCAGGGGAGAGGAGGCCAAACTGGACGCGGAGGCCTGGGGCGTAGCAATGGCGGGTGAAGGCCTCGCGCATGTCGGCAACCGAGTCGATCGAGTCGCCGTTGACTGAGACGAGAATGTGGCCGACGGTGATGCCGGCGTCAGCGGCAGCCGACGCCGGGGCAACCTTGGAGACGACGACGCCGCGGTCGACGGACGGATCTGCGACCACGAGCAGGCCCACAGCGGGCTTGCCCTCACGAGCGCTGCCAGTCGGGCGCCCGCTATCAGCTTGCAGGATGCGGACCTGGCTCTTGATGGCCGATTCGAGCTCTGAGGCTTCCGCAGCGATCGAGTTGTAAAGCGCCTGGGCGTCGCGGAACGAGTCCTCCTCGTCAAGGTCGGAGAGCTCCCACACCGCCTCGGGCACGTCGGCGGTGGCAGGCGGCGGCGAGGCGGCGGTGGCGGCTGGACGGGCGACGGAAGGGGTAGTGGCGGCGGCAGCAACAGCAGCAGACTCGGATGCGTCCTGCCTGGGAGCGATGACAAACGGCTCGGCGAGCTCAGGCTCGCCGTCGAGGAGTGCCTGGACCTGGCGCCGCATGAGGTCGCGCTCGAGCGCAACCGTAGCGGCAGCGTCGAGAGGAGAGCGGTGGTCGTCAGGAGAACGTGAGCGCGAGACGCGCGACGAGTGATGCGTGTGAGACGAGCGAACCTTGCGCTTGCGGAACTGGGCAGCGTACGAGCCAATACCAACGACAGGCGCGGCGGCAGGCTCAGGCTCGACAAAGGCGTCCGGCTTGAAGTAGCGCCAGCCAATAGCAGCCTCCTCCTCTGGCGTGGGACGGACCGAGGCAGCAGCTGGTGCAATGGTCTGCTGCGAGAGGTCAACTTGGACAACGGTGACGTCTGCGTCACGTGGATCAAGATCAATGCGGCCACGGCGGTACGGCCTTGTGGCGGCGTTCTCGACGGTCTCGACGACGGCCGAGACTGCCGAGGTGGCCGGGAACGAGGCGACGATGCCGGTCTTTTCCAACCCTTGCGCGGGCGGCGCTTCTGAGCCGCGCGGACGGCGTCAGTCGGGCGGACAACACGGTAGGATATGTCCTTGGCCTTGCCACGACGGCGGGCAGGCGGACGGGCGGCGGAGCGAGTGCGTGTGCGTGAGCGCGAGCGCGAGCGCGAGCGTGACGCCGACTTGCTGGTGGACGCCTTGGGCCCGCGCCTGCGGGCCGGGCCCGAGGGGCGGGCGTTCTTTTGCGGGCGGGCACGACGCTTGCGGCGAGCTGGCTTGGCCGGTTCGGGCACTGGCAGCGAGGCTGGCGAGGTGCGAGCCTCCCGCAGCGCCATTTCGTGGCGCTTCTTGTGGTACTCGGTAACAAACTCAAGCTCGCGCTCAGACGGATGCGGGTCTGCGCACGGCTCTTCCGAGTCGGCGTCAGGCTCGACCTCGGTGTCGGGATAGGCCGAGCCGACCTCGACAGCGACCGAGTCTACACCTGCGGCGGAGACGCCGTCGCCCGACGCTGATTCAGACGAGAGATGGAACGGCGAGTTGGGGGCAGCGTCTGCAGAGGCAGTGACCTGAATGCGGACCGGCGAGGCAACGACTGACGGGTGCGGTGCAACCGGGGCCGGCTCGGGCTGCGGGGCTGCCACAGGCTTGGGCTCGGACTCGGGCTCGGGCTCCGCGGACTGATGGGTTTGAGCGCTCTTGCCGCTTCCGGCAGCAGCCTTTGCCTTGGACTTGCGCTTGGACTTGCGACGACGGCCAGACTTTCCCCGAGGCTTGCCGGCCGGGGCCACCGAGGCGGTGCGGACAGGCACAATGGGGTCGCCCACGTCGGGGACTGGAGCGACTCCGGCCGGCTCTGCCGGAGAGGCCGGCTGGTCGTGGACGCTCTCGGAAGTAGCTGGAGCGTTGTGCGGCGCATAGAGCGAGGCCGACGCAGTGCGCGGCGCGACAGGGGGCGCCGCCGGTGCCGGAGCGGGCTCAGCGCGGTCGGCAGCGTTCAGGGTGGTCTCTTGCTGCTTTGCGGCGAGCGGCGACGACTTTGTGACGCGGGCGACAGGCGGACCCTTGCGCTTGCGCTTGATGTTGAACCTGTTGTGCAGGGCGTACATCCACTTTTGGCGGGCGGCAGCGTCTTCTGTGGAGAACGTGTGGTCCTTGCCGTCGACGCCGAGGGTGAACTTGAGGTCCTTCATCGACGGCGACGCCATGTGCTGCAGCGTGGCGTCCTTGAGCTCTGCAGGGGGGAGGAGGGCGTGAGTTCGGGGAAGAAGAGGGAGAGGAAGGGTGAGGAGGCTTCGGTCCCAGTGGGCGGACGTACTGGCACGGAGTGAGGCGCCCTCGGAGAGGTCGAGGGTGTACAGCGGGTCTGTGGCCGACTTGGAGGCAAAGACAGCGAGCGTGTTGGGCTGGAGGATGGCAAAGCGCGGCTTCCACGAGGAGAACATGGTGCCCTTGACACGCTCCCAAAGCGGACCCATATGCACACACTCTACGTCCTGCTTGAGCAGCTCGGACGCCATCTCTGCGGGTTCTGTCGGCCGTGGAGTGGTGCAGTGCGTGGCGCTCTCGGCCAGCCCGAAATTCGCCCGTCGCCCGCCAACGGCTGTCGGCCCCGTGGTTGGCGCGGGACGGTTGGGGGTGGAAAGGGGGGGGGAGAGGAGGGAGGGGCGAGACTGCGGGCACACACCTCGCCGGGAACCATCTCAGATGCAGGCGCTCGAACAGCGGCGAGTGGCGGTGTAGGTTGAGGAGGAGGAGGAGGAGGGGGGGGTAGGGAGGGGGGGGGAGGGAGGGGCGGGGCGGTGGCTCACAGGGTGGCGAGGTGGGCGCGCGCAAACAGGCGGCGGCGGCGCGAAGAGCTGGAGGCACGAATGGACGCCCGCGACCGGCGCAACGTGGTGGTCATTGCCAACAAGGCCCGGCGGCTGGAGCGGCAGCGGATGCTGCTGCGGATGCGCAGCAAGGAAGCCGAAGAGCGGAATCGGGCAATGCTGGCGGCGGTGCGCGAGAGTGGCGAGGCGAGCGGGCGGGTGGCGGCGAGCGGACGGTCGCTAGCTCGGCTGCGGGAACGATATGCACGTGCGGCACGGCTGCAGTTGCCGCGGTGGATGGCGGAGGCATCGGCTGCGGAACGGACACGGCTGAAGCAGCTCGATGCCGAGCTTGCGGCGTTGGCAGACATTCGCGCCGACGCAGCGCGGGTCTTCCGCGACGAGCTCGCGATCCGCGAGGCTATCCGCGATCGCGAGGCTGCGCTGGAAGCTGCGCGGGCCGAGGAGGAGCAAGCTGCGCGGGCCCGAGTTCGTGAGGCGCAGCAGGCTGCGGCGCGGCCCCGGCCAACACAGCGTGTGGACGACATCGACGTCGCCCGCGTGGCTCAGCACGGCTTCTCCGGTTCCGCACTCGCTATGCTTGATCTCGACTCTGGGTCTGGTACTAGAGAGGAGGATCAAGAGAACGAAATGGTGGAAGAGGGCAACGTTGAGCCAGTGACGCCTGTTAGAGTGCCGTTGCCGTCTCGGGACCGCGAGGCGCTTATCGAGCGATCGGAGGATGGGGGCAAAGAGCCGTCGAGCGAGCCGCGAAGTGAGCCCCGAAGCGAGCCCCGAAGCGAGCCCCGAAGCGAGGCTTCGACCAAGGAGACTCGGCGCGAGAGCAAAGAGTCGCTTGGTGAGCCATTGCACGGTGGAGACGAGGTGCCTCCTAGCGAGAGGTCGCAGGATGATAGAGGTGAGGAGCCGCCGAGCGAGAGCGAGCTACCAATCGAAAGGTCGCAGGATGAAGGTGAGGAGCCACCGAACAAGCTAGCGGTTGAGAAGCCGCAGGATGAAAATGAGGAGCTGCCGAACAAGCTACCGGTTGAGAAGCCGCAGGATGGGGACGAGCCATCGCACAAGGCGGGCAATGAGCCGCCGAGCGACGGATCACAGGCGTCGTCGCTCCCACCGGCGGAAGCGGCGAGCATGGCGGCTATGCTGGAGCCGAGGCAGCGGGAGCATGTGCTGGAGCTACTGCTTCGCGCCATCGAGGCAGACATGGACGACGACCCGGAAGAGCTGTACGTGGAGCAGGTGTCGGATGCTGTACAGGACTCGATCCTCGAGTCGGCGCTCGGCGACGACACGCTCTCATTTTACGGCGGCTCGGCAATGTCGGCAGCTGTTGTCGGCCTCCTGCTCGCCTTCCCCGGCGGCCTGCTCCCAGTCAAGCTCCTGAAGCACGTCTGTACAACACAGACGATGACGCTGTCTCAAGCTTCACCGTTTCTTACCGCCCACGCACGGCGCGTCCTCCACGCCGTGGTTAGCCACTGGCGCAAGCTACTTGAGGCCGATGCCGTGAGTGCGGATGCACTCGCCACACTCACGCCAGCGCTCGTCGGTGAGGACGCGCTCGAGTTTGTCGACCAGGCGACTGGCTTTCTCTCGAGCGTCCTGGATCTGGAGACGCACGCGCAGAGGGCCGACGCCAACCATCTGGCCAGCGCGCCGCCGCCGGTGGTCACTGCGCCTGTCACGTCACCCATCAGCGCCGGTGCAATGACCAGCATGCTCCCGGGCCTGGGCGGGGTGCAAGCCCGGATGCCGGCCTCATCGTTTGCTGGTAGGCCCCTCGGTAGCAGCTCCGGCAACGTGCTCGGCGATGCCGATGACGACTACACCTCGGAGGACGACATGTACATGGGCGGCGGCGCCGCTACAAGCACGTCAGCAATCCCGAGTAACGCCACGGCATTGATGATGGGCGGCGGCGCCGGAGCGATGATGGGCGCTGGCGCCAGCGGCATGATGTTTGGCGGCGGCATGATGCATCCGCTGGCGGCGGGCCGGCCCGCGCCCAAGCCACAGCCTGCGGTTCCTTATCGGACGGGCGGCCTCGACGCGGTGCTGGGTGACGACTCGTCATCCTCTGAGTTCCCGTCGTTTTAGCTCGATGGTGGCCGCAGCAGTCTTTAATACTAAACAGCCTGGTCCCTGGTCAGTGAGGGGAGGGGGGCGCGTCGACGAACGAGTCGGTGAGTCACTGCTCTCGCGACCGCTGGAAAAAGAAGCATGGCGGCGTCGTCGGCAGCAGGGCAGCAGGCAACGGTGGGCGACGAGTCCTCGTCAGCGCTCAACATTGTGCTCCACCCCGCGGTCATTGTGTCCATCACAGACCACTACACCCGGGCGCGGGCAAACACCAAGACGCCGCGTCCGCGGGTGGTGGGCGGCCTGGTGGGGACGCAGCGCGGGCGGACGATCGAGATGCACTCGGCGTACGAGCTGCTGGTCTCCGAGGACGCAGACGGCGGCCTGGTCTTCGACATGGAGTTTCTGCGCAAGAAGCACCAGCTGAGTACGTAGGGGATGGTGGTGAAGGGGGGGGGGGGGGGAGGGGGAAGCCGGGGTACGGGGGTGGGGTGGGGGGCGGCAGGAAGGAACGTGGGCGGGCAGGTGCAAGGCGGACGGAGACTCACGTGCGGGACGGACTGGCGGACGAGCAGTCGTGGACGTCCAGGAGGAGTACCAGTTCCTGGGATGGTACTCGACAGGAACCGCGCCCTCGGCAGCGGACCTTGCGGTGCAGACGCTGCTGCGCGAGGAGGGCATCAACGAGTCGCCGCTGTACATGGTGCTCGACCCGACGCCGCCGCCTGGTACTAAGGAGCTTCCGATTGATATCTACGAGTCGGAGCTGCGGATCATCGATGACTCGCCGACCTACCGCTTTGTCCACACCGCCTACTCAATCTACTCGGGCGAGTCGGAGCGCATTGCGGTCGACCACGTCGCCCACCTGTCGTCGGTTGCCACCGCCGAGTCGTCGTCGTCGGTGACAACTCATGCCGGCGGCATCGCCAACGCTGTCGAGAACCTCTCGGGCAGGCTGGCCATCATCCTTCGCTACCTCAAGGCAGTCCAAGCGGGAACTGCCGAGGCCGATCCGCGCATCCTGCGCATGGTCAAGGCTGTCGTCCTCCAACTGCCTGTTGCCACCACCGGCGCAGGCACGGAGTTTGACCTCGAGTTTGTGGCCCAGTACAACGACACGCTGCTCACCACATACCTCGCCACCCTCACCAAGGCCGCCTCGGCCGTCAACAACATGGTCGACAAGTTCAACGTTGTCGCGACGAGCGATCGTCGCGGCGGGCGCGGGTCTCGCATGCGTGGCGCCTTCATGTAGGCGCCCCTCCATCTGCGACTCCCACTGATAGTGTTGGTAAAGTGAGAGCTTTCTTTGTTGCCTTGTGAGCTGCCTTGTGAGCTGCCTTGTGTGCTGGCCTGGATGTGGCCCAGACTCTGGGCCATCGGATGGGCGCCGGCGGGGCTCCGAGACAAACGCGCGATGCCTTTTCGGGAAAAGTATCACTCGATGATACAACGTTTCCAGCTATAAAAATATATAATCTTATACTTACATTATTATGACTTTATAGGTCAATTGGTAATTTTCAATTATTATTGCATTATTCAAATGACAAATATGTTAATGTAATATATTTAATCGTCCGTATACATATTTTGTTGGTTTTTGATCCGGGAGACGGTCCGTTATCGTCGTCATAATGGCGTGAAGGTGGTCTCTCCTCCTCTAGTGCCTTGCCTACTCGCTTCACCACACACAATCACCATTGCGCCACCAGCTCGTTGTACATGCTTCGTGTTGATGCTAGTGTGAGTCGTGGGAGCGGCACCGATTGCAAGAAATCGTAAAAGTCCGACTTTCATCTCAAAGCAGCCCTACCTCCTCGGTCACGGATCAACAAAACTCGCGCACGAGACTATCACCTCTCCAATCAGCCCCTCGTACACCACTCGACTACAGTGAAGGAGCCACATGGAGTCTGGAGGCGTAAAGGTTGTGCTGCCCGAGTCTCTAGTGGATGTGGCCGCTTTCCAGTCTGCTGTGACCGAGTGGCTGGAGACAGCGTGGACGGCGGTCGACGCGGCGACGGCGACGTCGGCGGTGCTCGTTGTCGGCAACGAGGCTGCAGACGTCGATTCGGTCGTGTGTGCACTGGCGTGGGCTTATACCTTGCGCAACAAAGCAATCGAGGGCTGTGTTGTCCTCCCGGTCATCGGTGTTCCGGCGGCCGAGCTCCCGCTCCGGACCGAGGTGACTGCACTCCTTGCGGCTACATGCATCGACGCGTCGCTCTTCGCGTATCCAGACACGGTGCAGCAAGTGGTGGATGCAGTTGGCCGTGATGCGGTCACCATTCATCTTGTTGACCACAACGTGGTCCGGATGCCGGCGCTGGTCTCGCTGGGTTCAGCGGTAAACGCCATCATCGACCACCACACCGACGAGGGCGCGCACGACGCAGCAGCACCGCGGCGGATCGAGACGGTTGGCTCGTGTGCCACGCTTGTCACCGAAATGATCGAGGCTGGTAACTTGCCGCCTCCGTTGGCCTTTATGCTCCTTGCTACCGTCCTTGTCGACACCGTCAATCTGGCGCCGGAGGCAGGCAAGGTCACCTCAGCCGACGAGGCTGCGACACGGAGCCTGTGCCAGGCAATCGCGCCTTGTGGAGGTGGAGACGACCACGTTGCGCTTGTGAACACGCTGTTTGAACAGATGCAGGCCGCCAAGTTCGATGTCTCGGCGCTCTCGTGCGCCCAGCTCCTCGCCCGCGATGCCAAGTACTATACCACGCCTGCCGGGCTCGGCTACGCCATCCCAGGTGTCTTTCTCAACGGTGCCGAGTTTGTCGTCCGAGCCGGCGGTGCGACGGAGCTTGCAATCGCTCTGAGCGACTACGCTGCGGCCAAGCACGCACACTTTGTCGTCGTCATGCTCACCCAGCCGTCGGATAGCGGCGTTTCACGCGAGATGATCGTCTACGTGCCGGCTTCGACTCCCGACGCGAGCACGCTCCTGAATCGCTTGGTAGACTTTCTCGTCTCTGTCAACAACAGTGAGCTGCAGCTACAGACGACTGCAGCGTGCAGTGACGCCGGCTCAACCGATGCCGGCGTCATTGTGCACTTGGCCCAGGGCAACGCCACGGCCTCCCGCAAGCGCATCGCGCCGCTCCTTGTCGAGTTTACCGCCTCAATGTAGTGTACAAAGCCCCGTGAAAGCATCAGCCGTTCTTCTCTGCTGCAGCAGCACCTCGGCGGGCGCCATCATCGCGCCTTCGCTTAATCTGGTGATGAGTGTGCGACTTGGCGCCATTCGCACGCACAACCGGGCCCCGCCAGCACGAGCCAACAGCGTCGGCAAAGACACACCTCGCTTCCCCAGACCATGGCGACGGCCACCCCAGACGCAACTGGTGCAGGCGGCGGGGGCGTTGCCTGTGCGGAGACTTCCCACTCGCACCGGCTCGCCCGCGAGTACGGCGAGCTCGAGGTAGTGGGCAAGGGCGCGTACGGGCGTGTCTTTCTCGCTCACCACGCCGAGTTTGGCGAGGTCGTCGTCAAGCAAGTCGATGTCGCCATGCTCAGCGCCGACGAGCGCGAGGAGGCACTGCGCGAGGTACGTACTTCCAGGGGCGGGGATGCGGCGGTGGGGTCGGGCGGTGGCAGGTGTGCGGGGCGGTGGTGCGAGGTGACTCACCTGTGCGGTGCGCACGCGCGCAAGCTGGCTCCAGGCCCGGGTCATGGCATCGATCAAGCACTACAACATCATCGGGTACAAAGAGTCGTGGATGGAGGACGGGTATCTGTACATTGCGATGGAGTATGCTCCCGGCGGCGATTTGTTTGCAGCGCTCCATGCCCGGCTGGCGGCGCTGGCGGCGACTGGCGAGGGCAACACCGGTGACACCGAGGCTGACCAGCCGCCATTTGACGATGACGAGCTGTGGGCGCTTGCCATTCAGCTCTGCCAGGGTCTCGGCTATCTGCATGAGCGCAGAATTCTGCATCGTGACATCAAGCCGCAGAACGTGCTCCTCGACTCAGACAGCAACGTCAAGATCGGCGACCTGGGCCTTGCTCGGCAGCTCGGCTCGCAGTCGATGGCAACGTCTTCGGTCGGCACGCCGCTCTACTTTTCACCGGAGCTCTGCCTCGATGCCGCGTACGACGACAAGTCGGATGTTTGGGCGCTTGGCTGCCTGCTGTACGAGCTGGCGACGGGCGAGCCGCCGTTTGTGGCGTCGAACCAGATCGCGCTGGCGCAGGCGATCGTGCACGACGAGCCGGCGCCGCTGCCGCACGCCTTCTCGCCCGAGCTCCGCTGGCTTATTTCGCTCATGCTGACCAAAGACCCCAGTGAGCGGCCGTCGATTGCGACGCTACTCGACACACCTGCAGTCCGCGTCCGGATCGACAAGGCACTGCTATACCATCAGGTGCTGCGACTTCAGGCGCGGTTAGCGGCGACCGAGGCCGATTTGGCCACGGCTCGAGCGGCGGCGGCAACGGCGCACGCGGCAGCGGCAGCGGCGGCGGCGCCGGTGGCCAAGAGCCCGCCTCGAGTCCACCGCGAGTTGCTTTCCCCCGTGCGGACCCCGCTAGCGCCGCGGCAGGGCAGCGAGCCACCACCGGCGTCGACAAGCAAGACGCCGCGGATTCGCAGTGGGCATGAAAACGCAGCGACGCCACCATCCCGGCTTGTCTTTGCCACGCCGAGCAAAAAGGGCGCATCGTCGCCTCTGGCGAGCCTGGCCACCAAGGTCGACGCGAGCGTCTTGTTTGGCCCAGAGCTGGAAGTTGGGGCCAAGCGCGGGCGCGAGCTGGTGGCCCTCTTTGCGTGGGAGCGATGGTCGGCGTCAACGCCACCAGGGACAGGCATGGCGCTGCTCACGGGCTCGGCCTCGCTTGACTCGGCGCGCAATGTGGCGCGAAGCGCGGTGTGGCAGGGCCGGGCCAAGCAGAGCCTCTCGCACGCTGTGGCCCACCCGATGATTGTCTTTGCGCCACGCAGCGGAAGCTGCCGAGCGGGCAGCCACCCCGAAGTGCGGCACTTGCGAACACGACGGCGCGGGGCGCGCGCCTTTGAAGAGCTCGTCCCGCAGCCGGGCCTCGCAGTGGCGACGCAGATCGGCGAGTCTGAGTTTTGGCTGCTCAATCTGACGTCGTCTGCACCGGTCTCCGAGTTTATTCTCGAGTTTGTGGACAACAACCCACTGGACGTGCTGCTTGTCCTCAAGCGCAACGAGGCGTTTCTGGAAGCTGTTTTTGCAGCGACGGCCCGAGTTTAGACCGCCGGCGCCAGATGGGAGAAAGGGCAAAATTGAGTTTATGAACAGGTTCCGAGGGAACGGCGCTTAGGCCGACGTTGTGTTGAACGCCGTGTTGGTGATAAAGTGGTCGAAGAAGACGAGGGCGTTCTTCGGCTGGTCCATGGCTGCAAACGAGGGGCAAGGTGAGTAGGGGACGAGCGAGGCAGGGGGAAGGAAAGGGGCGAGGGAGGAGAGGCAAGCTGGAGGAGGGGAGGCAGGGAGGAGATGAATAACGTACGGACCATGTGGCCGGCGCCCTCGACAAAGACGAGGTTGAGGTTCTTGTAGGTCTGGACCGAGCCAGCGTTGTCGGAGCCAACGTACCACTGCTGCATGGGCGCGGCGTTGAAGGCGGCCTTGCCCGACCACGGGACGTCGAGGGCGACGGCCTGGGAGCCGAGGTAGTTGCAGATGTAGTCAAGCATGCCAGCCATGATGTAGACACGCTTGCCACCCTCGAGCATGGCGGTGACGCCGTCGGCGTACGAGACGGTCCAGTCGGTGAAATCGGCGTTGACGTCAAAGTTGCACGTCGCCCACTTGATGGACGGGTCGACGTTGAGAGCAGCCTGGACGGCGGGCTCGTTAAGCCAGTCGGTCGGAGCGGTAAAGTTGTAGCAGAGCGAGCCGTCGAGGCACGGCTCGAGGCGGTTGTACGGGTTGATCTGGTGGCCATCGATGTTGGTGTTCTCGAGGATGTAACCGATGATGGGGAGGCAGGTCTGGTAGGCCTGGGCAACCTCGCCGGCCTTGATGAGGGCGACGCAGTCGGCGACCATGTTGTCGGCCTCCTTGATGACGTTGTTCGACACCAGGTCGAACTTCTTGGCGTACGCCGGGTACATCGGGAACTGGAGGAGCGGATCGATCATGCCGTTGCCGATCTCCATGGCCTGGAGGCGCGAGGCGAGTGCGGGCGAGTTGGCAAGGATCTGGCGGGCAAGCTCGGGCACGTAGTGGCCGCCGTAGCTCTCACCGGTGATGAAGAACGGCTGCTTGGCGTACTGCGGGTTCTGCTCAAAGAACATCTCCAGGAAGGTGACGACGTAACCCATGGCCTCAGTGGTGTTGTGCACGTAGTCCTCCGGCGGGGACGATGAGAAGCCGACGCCAAACGGCTGGTCAATGTACAGCATGTTAGCGTTGTTGTTCCACGAGTACGGGTTCGACTTGAGCTTGAGGTGCGAGTCGACCGAGTACGGGCCGTTCTCGTTGAGCGCCGCCAGCGAGCCGGAGCAGCCAGGGCCGCCGGTGAGCCAGAGCACAAACGGCGTCGAATCGTCGGTCGGCGAGGCCTTCTGCGCGTCAAAGAGCCAGTACCAGAGCTTGCCATCAAACGACGGCTCCACGCTGTGTCCGGTAAGGGGGGGGTGGACGGTGAGGAGGGGTGAGTGGCGGAGGGATGGCGACCCATCAAGAGGGCTAAGAAAGGGGTGGGGGGGCGTACGTGATGTAGCCACCACGGCCGGGGACAAACACGGCGGTTGCCGCGGCAGCAAGGAGCAGACACACAACAATCGAGGTGGTGCGCATGGTCAATGAGTTAAGTGTGACAGGGAGGCGGGGCGGTTGTTGGCGATTCGCTCCGGGCAGGTCACGTGCCGTGTCGTCCATGGCCCGACTCCCTTGTGCCGATTTCGAGTTGTCAGCCAGGGCGGGGGAGGCCCCTTGGCGGGCGGTTGGTTGGTCGACGGCCAGCTGCAACGGGTGCGGCCGAGTGCACCGAGTTGGAGCGGGCCGAGCGGAAGACGGCCAGGCGCCAACGGCTGACTGTGCTTCGTGCAGAACATGTCCGACTCTTCGTTGCCTGAAACTCGTCCGGGCTCTGGTGGTGCCGTGTCTTCTGCGTCGTCTGCGTCGTCTGTGTCGTCTGCGTCGTCTGGCTCTGCGGTGTCTGCTGCAGATGTTGGGACTGGGACTGGGACTGGGTCTGATACTGGCTCTGGGTCTGGGTCTGGCTCTGCAGCTGGCTCTGCAGCTGGCTTTGGCTCTGGCTCTGGCTCTGGCTCTGCAGCTGGCTCTGCAGCTGGCTCTGCAGCTGGCTCTGCAGCTGGCTCTGCAGCTGGGGCTGATGCTGGCTCTGCAGCTGGCTCTGCAGCTGGCTCTGCAGCTGGCTCTGCAGCTGGCTCTGCAGCTGGCTCTGCAGCTGGCTCTGCAGCTGGCTCTGCAGCTGGGGCTGATGATGGCTCTGCACCTGGCTCTGAGGCCGATGCTGGCTCTGATTCGGGATCTGAGGCTGATGCTGAGCTGGCCGACTCTCCTTCAAGCTCTTCCTCGGCCTCATTGCCCTCTCCGTCCCGCGCCGCCGATGTACAGCTTGAGTTCCTCGCCGCATGCACCATGGGCGACGTAGCCGCGGTGGCCTCAGCGCTCGCCACAGGCGCGGTGGATCTGAGCGTCACCGACTCGGACGGCTACTCTGGCCTGCACTGCGCAGTCCAAGCTGGATCTAGCGATGTCGTCGCCGCCCTTCTTGCTGCCGGAGCCGACGTCAACGCTCGCGGCCCGCGCGGAGCCACTGCGCTGCACGAGGCCGCCGCCGCAGGGGCTGACGATATCGCCGCTCTCCTCGTGGCTTCGGCCGCCATTGAGCTCGACGCGCGCAACAACGCCGGGCAAACACCGCAGGATGTGGCTGTCGCCAAGGGCCGCACTGCCGTCGTCGCCGTCCTCAGCGATGCCGCCGAGGCTCGCACCGCTGAACGAGTTCTTGCCGCTGCTGCATCCGGTGACGCCGCTGCACTCGCCACCATGTTTGACGCCCACGCCTCAGCCACCCACCCGTTGGTCCATATCCAGGATTCGTCTGGAGCCACCCCGCTCGCGCTTGCCGCAGAAGCTGGCAGTGTTGCGGCCGTCAAGCTTCTCATCCAAAAGGGTGCCGATCTTGAGGCCTCTGTCGAGATTCCGGCGTTTGCCTCGCCGCTCTCGCGCGCCCTCGTGGCAGGCCACCTCGACGTTGCCACCATCCTCGTTGAGGCCGGCGCCTCGCTCGAGTACCCGCTCGGCGCAGCCCGCACCCCGCTCGACGACGCCAAGGCCTTGGGATCGCGCGAGCTTCTAGCCCAAGTCGAAGAGTGGCTCGCCGGCGCGAGCGACACGGCTGACGCCGAGACCGAGGCCAAGAGCCCGGCTGCCATGCTCGCGTCCAACACAGCGTATGCACCGGCGTCGCCAGCCGCAGATGCCCAGGTCGCCGGCATCGAGGACAAGCTCATGGCCAACCTTGCGCGGCGGGAGGCGCTCCTGGCCGCAGCCTCCGTCCGCTCACTCTCTGCTGCAGAGTCAGACGAGCTTGCAGATCTCGAGGCGAACATCACTACGTTTGGTGGCTTTGTCAAGCGCGCCACTGGCCGCGACCTCGTGGGCGAGTTTGCCGCCCGCGGCTCCGCTTCCATCTCGTCGCGCCCTGCCCGTGCTGGCGGTGAATACAAGACCGCCATCTCGCCTGGTGGCGTCCGCATCGTCTGGGCCAACGACGCCTACGACCGCGATCAGGCCGACGCCCGCCAGCCGCCGGCCGACTGGCTTGTCGACGACAACCCTGGCGCGTCCAAGGCCACCCCGCTTCCGCCGGGCTGGGTCGCCTGCATGTCGCAGCGAAAGGGCGTGCCATTTTATCACAACATCGTCACCGGCACATCCACCTGGGAACGCCCCTACAATCACGAAGCCGAACGCGCCGTCGTCCCCGCCATCACCCGCAAGCGCGACGCCTTTTGCGCCCGACTCGCTGCCCGTCGCTGAGCTGACACAACGACTCACCTCTCCCTCCCCCCCCTCCCTCCCCCCCCTCCCACGCAAATTACACCTTCCCCCACCCTCATGTCGTTCACTTGGCTGGCGGGTGCAGGCGCTGCTGCCGCGTGGGGCCTTCCGCTGCTGCAAGAGTACGCCCTCTTCGGCGAGTCGTACTCGCAGGCCGACCGCCACCACGCGTTCTCGACGGCGCACTCTCTGGAGATTGCCCGCCGCGAGTCGACACGCGACATATCAGCCCAAAAGTCGCAGCGGGTCCAGGGCCTCATGCTCTCCAACACACTGCTGCTTGGCGTCTGGTTCTCGTTTGTTGTCGAGGGCATCATCCCGCCCGAGACCTCGCCGGCCATGGTCTTCATCTACTCGCTCGGCCTCTCGCTTGGCTTTGCCGCTCTCTTCCTCTCGGTCTGGTTCGCCATGAAGCTCCAGTCACGGATGACCAAGTACAACGTGGCCAAGATCACCCAGGTCTACACCTGTGGCAACATCCACCCGTCGTTCCGCGACTACTACGAGTGCCATTGCACCACCCTCAACACCCTCGCCATCTGGTGCTTCTACTCGGGCACGGTCTTCCTCATCGGCGCCGCCTGCGTGCTCACCTACACTCGTTTTGCGCTCACCTTTGACTCGCCATCGGCAGGTGTCATCTTTGTTGTCGCCTGTGGTCTCACCGTCGCTGCCCTCCTCGTTCTTGGCATCATCTTCCCCACCTCGACCCGCCTCACGCCCGAGGAAGCCGAGGAGCAGGCGACCAAGGCCGCGGCCAAAGCCGCCCGCGCCGCCGGAATGTCGGCCCACCGCCCGCCGCCCACCGCCTGGGAAGATGTCTCGGACAACTCACTCTTCCTCTCGGCAGACTCGGATGCTGGCGGCGCTCGCCCGACTCGCCCTGTCGCCCGCCGCGGCTTTGGCGCGGGCGAAGACGACGAGCCCGGCGCAGACGGGCGCGGCACCAGCAAGGCGGTTCGCTTCCACGCCGACGATCCGGACCCGGCGGTTGTCCCGGTCCTCATGTCCGACTACTCGTCACGGTCTGACGGCGAGTCGCTCTCGCTCTACTCGGAAATCGAGTCGACCACGCCGCGCTCGCCGGTTCCTCGTCGTCGCCGCCACCGCCGTCGCCACCGGCCATAGCTCACTCGCTTGCTGGTCACGACTTGCGGCCGCCGCTTTGGCCTTGTCGCTGCGGTCGGAGCTCAAAGTTGCCGGTCAGCTCGGCCTGAAGCCGACCGGTGCGCTTGATGTGCCAGCTCCCGCTGAGCGTCACCCGCCCCGCCGCCGACCGAGACAGCACGCCGCGGTACTCGACCCCATGCGAGTACCGGCCCGAGTGGTACCTTTTGAGGAATACCGCCTTGCCACTATCAACGTTGTAGTAGCCACGGATGGTGTACGCCGACAGATCGTCAGTGCCCGAGCCTGAGAACTGGCCGGCCTCGGCGTCAAGCTGGAGTGCCATCCGCATCGCGTGCCGCTTGCCAAACTCGACGTAGTGTCCGACCCATGTCCCGGCGTACATCTTTCGGCTGCTTGGCGCAGTCAGCTCGTCGTACGACGGAGGTGGCCCGTATTTGGCGTGCAGCGCATGCTCGGCCGCAGACAGCGGTGCTGACGATCCCGTCTCAACGTCCTCGCTCCCCATCGCTCGCGCCCGCCGCGACGCATCCGAGCTTGGATCACGCACCATCTTCGTTCCGCACAACACCTGCGTTACCACAGCGATGCCGACCGTAGCCACTAGTACTCCAAGCAACGAGCACACAATCGCAATGGCGCAGCTCTTGTCACACTCGCCGCTTCCCTCGCCATACCCACCTGACATGCCACTGCTGCTTCCGCCTCCGCCTCCGCCGCCGCCACTTCCGCCACCGCTCTGCGCCTCGGCCACCATCCCGAGGCATGCCACCAGTATCATTGCTCCGATCAGGCATGTCCTTATTTCCTGCACCATTTCAAGCCGGAACTTTAGCTCTTGTCCTCGGTCCCTGGTCGCCATCGTGCGGCGTGCTGCTGCTGTTTTTGTCGCCACAGGCAAGTTCCGGGTAGCCTGGCGAGCAGACGGCCCCGCACATGCGAGTTTTGTCTTTCACACGGTTGGCGGCACACACGCTACACCACTCCATTACTATGGACATCACGGGCCTCCCGAGCGAGCTTATCAATGTCATTGCCTTCTCGGGTAGCCTCTCGGCGCTCGACGTGACGCGGCTGAAACAGAGCTGCACAACGCTCTACCGCGCACTCTCCGGCACCTTTGCTGACGACATGCACCGTTCCCTGTGCGGGCCGTTGTTTTGTGCGGAGCGGCGATGGTGGCGCCCAGCGCGGCTCGCGCTCGAAGCTGGCGGCGATGCCTCCTGGGACATCACACGGGCTCTCTGCGGCGCGGATGCGCTTGCCCGCGGCGCGAGCGGCAGCCCGTGTCGCGCCGACTGGATGGCTGCCATCCGCGTGCTGCTAGCCCGGGCCGACGTCGTTCTGCATGCGCGATGGACCGATGCGCTCGCTTGCGCTGCCTTTGCTGGCGATCCGGAACTTGTGGCGATCCTCCTTGCCGACGATCGCATTGATCCGACGGCAAACGGATCAAGCGCAGTCCGCGGCGCGGCCAAGGCCGGCAACGTCGAGGTGCTTGCCATGCTGCTCGCCGATGGCAGGCTCGATCCAGACAACACCGAAGATGACGCGCCGGCGCTCACCATAGCTTGCCTCTTCTGCAGCAATCTCGAGGTGATTTACATGCTCCTTGCCGATGATCGGGTCAACCCTGAGAGAAATGACAACTCCGCCATTCGCGCAGCGGCAGAAAAGGGTCGCACCGACGTGGTCCGCCTTCTGCTCGCTGATGCCCGCGTCGATCCCAGTGATGAAGGCAACGAGGCCATCGGCATGGCTTGCATGCGTGGCTTTGCTACTACCGTCGACGCGCTCCTTGCTGACCCGCGGGTCGATCCGTTCGATGGCACGTTTGCGCTCCAGATGGCAGCAAGGAGCGGTCACGCCGACGTGGTGAGGCAGTTGATTGCCGACCCACGGTTTGCGGCGATAGGAGACGCCCAACTCGAAGAAGTGTGCTCTCTCACTACGCTGGCCGGCCACCACGACATTGCCCGCGATATTCTCCGTGCCGCCGGCACCGCCCGTAGCCTCACCCCCGCCGATCGTCCAGGCCCGGGATTGTAAATACCACCTGCTGGAGCTCCCGTATCTCAAACGCGTGTGGCGATGGAGCATGCTCTGGTTCGGCTGGTGATTTGGTTTTGCTCCGAGTCGGGCTTGAGCCTGGCTTCGCCGAAATCGGCTGCCGGCCGTCATGATAGCAGAGGCGCACACGTGACGACGCAAGTGGGGGATGGCGGACACGTTGGGACCTGCTGCGTCGTGGAAGAGCCTCCATGACCGGTTCTACTCCAAGGAAGAGGTGTATGAGATGATGTGGGACTCAGAGAGCATCAACCTGGCTAACTACATTGTCGCTGCAGCCCCGTATGGTGGGCCCATTGGTAGGTTGCAAGGGCGAAGGGAGAGGGGGGGGAGGAAAGGAGGGCGGAAAATGGGCATGGCAGGGCAGGGGAGGAGGAGCCGGAGCGGCCGGGGGACTTATGCAGGGACGGGTTGCTGCGGGCGTGTGTGGGCGTGTATGTGGGCGTGTGGGCGTGTGTGGGCGTGTGGGCATGCGTGTGCGGGGGCATGCCTGTCTACTTGTGCATGCGTTTGCGTGGCGGGCGGTTGTGGGCGGGTGTGGGCGAGACAGCGCTGTACCGCGACAAGACCAAGCTGCAGGAGGCGAGCCGTGGGCGCGGCGACCTCATTTCGGTGTACACGTCTGCTGGGCGGCTGATGGCGCAGATCGACCCGCGCGCGACGTCGACGACGTCATCGCAGGTGGTGACGATGGGGTGGACGGCGTCGGCGCATCTTGTGGTTGTGCACGAGGACGGAGTGGTCAACGTGTACGATGTGCACGGCTCGTTTGTGGCCACGTTTACGGCGGCGCCGGACGCAATGGCTGAGGGCGTGTTTGACGCCAAGGTGTGGGCCGGCGGCCTCGTGGTGCTGACGACGTCGTTCCAGATGTACGCTGTCGAGTTTCGCGACGAGACGTTTGCGGCGATCCGGCCAAAGAAGCTTGCGGATCCCGAGCTTACCGAGGCGCCGTGGTCGTGGGCGGTCATTCCGCCGGAGCAGGCGCTGTCGCGGTCTGTCGAGGTGCTCCTTGCGACGAAGCGGACGGTGTACGCGGTCGACGCGTCGCTGGCGCAGGACCAGGTGGTGAGCGAGGGGCCGTACGTGCGGATGGCGCTCTCGCCGTCAGGCAAGTTTGTGGCGTTGTACAACGCAGCGGGCACGCTCTACGTTCACACGGTTGACTTTGACAAGAACCTCTCGGAGCTCGACACCAAGAAGGGCGACCTGCCGCCGGACCAGCTGGTGTGGTGCGGGACGGACTCTGTGATCATGTACTGGAACAAGGTACTTTTCATGGTGGGTCCTTTCAGCGACTACGTCAACTACTACGAGGACTCTGCGGCTGCGGTCATTACCGAGACCGACGGGGTGCGGATCATCACGTCTGAGCGGTGCCAGCTGCTGCGGCGGGTTCCGAACTCTGTACAGTCGATCTTTGCACTGGGCGGGACCGAGCCGCCGGCGCTCCTGTACGACGCGTTGGAGCACTACCAGAATAACTCGCCCAAGGCATACGACTCGATTTCGCTTGTGCGTGACTCGCTTGTCGATGCGGTGGAGGCCTGCATCGACGCCGCAGGCCACATGTTTGAGCCGCGGCTGCAGCGCAAGCTGCTGCAGGCGGCCTCGTTTGGCAAGTGCTTTCTGGAGATGTACGACCCGACCAAGTTTGTGGAGATGGCGCGGAATCTGCGGGTGCTCAACGCGGTCCGCTTCTACGAGGTCGGCATGCCGCTGACGTATGCGCAGTACCTCGAGCTCACGCCGCAGGTTCTCATCAACCGGCTCGTCAACCGGCATCACCACCTGCTCGCATACCGCATCTGCGAGTTTCTGGAGCTCCCGACGGACCGGGTCCTTGTCCACTGGGCGTGCGCCAAGATTGTGCGCGGGATGGGAACCGACCACGAGCTGTGCCAGGCCATTGTGGAGAAGCTGGCGCCGGTCAAGGGCATCTCGTATGTGGAGATTGCCGAGACTGCGTTCCGGCGCGGACACACCGAGCTCGCGACGTCTCTGCTCGAGTACGAGCCGCGGCCAGCGCAGCAGGTCCCGCTCCTCATGACAATGCGTGAGAACGAGCTGGCGCTGACCAAGGCCATATACTCGGGCGACACCGACCTGGTGTATCTGGTCCTCCTAGAGCTCAAGCAAAACAGCTCGATGGAGTCCCTGTTCCGCGTTGTTGCCGGCAAGCCGCTTGCCGCCGACCTCCTCGCGACCTACTGCAAGTCGCAGGATTTGGAGATGCTCAAGGACTTTCACTACCAGGCCGACGAGGGTCACGAGTCGGCCAACATCATGGTCCGCGAGGCGTACGCCGCCCCGACCGCCTCGGAGCGCGACCGCCTCCTCCGCCAGGCTATCACCTTTTACGCCGAGTCGCGCGAGTCGGTCTTTGAAGCCAACGCCACCAAGGAGCAACTCAATCTGCTGGCGTTCCAGACCGACATGCAGCGGCAGAACCCAGGCCACACCTTTGTCAACCTCTCGCTCTCGTCCACCATCTACGAGCTTGTGGTCATCGGCCTGGTCAAGGACGCCGACAAGCTGCGTAAGCATTTTAAGGTGCCGGACAAGCGCTACTCGTGGCTCATGGTCCGTGGTCTCGCCGCAGCCTCCAACTGGACCGAACTCGAGAAGTTTGCCTCAAAGAGCAAGAAGTCACCCATCGGCTTTGAGCCGTTCGCGCAGGTCTGCATCGACGGCCACGTTCCGCGCGAGGCTGCCAAGTACATCCCGCGCATTCCGTCGCACGATACCAAGGCCAAGCTCTGGGCCGAGATCGGTGACTTTGCCTCGGCCGCCGATGAGGCCTTTCAGGCCGAGAACGTCGACATGCTCATCGAGCTTGAGCGCCGTGCGAGTCCTGACGTGGCCTCGCGCATCCGCACCCATCTGGCCAAGTTCCGTTAGTTCGTCGACGGCACCTTTCGCTAAACTCAATGCAGTAGCCTAGCGTCCACAAGCTGATGCCGCAAGTCATTGCTTTGGGCACGAGGGTCATACTCCATGCTGGCAAATGGACGATAGCGAACACACACACCGCACATCAGTTGGGTCGGTTCCCCTCCCCCTCCCCTCCATTCGATTGCACACACTCAACTCGACCAACAATCATGGCAGCTTCTTCTTCCTCGAGTACGTTGGTAAAGAGCTCAAAGAGGAAGGGAGGGAGTTTGAAGCGCAAGGCCTGACCTTGCTTGTGGTGCTTGCGCCCCGCCGCGCGCCTTGTGTGACCATGGCGGGCGTTGGAAGTGTGAGGTGAGGGGGGGTAAAAAAAGGACAAGGTGTTCCAAGTTTGGCGGTCAGGTCCCCCCCCCCCCGCCGAGCCCACGGGGCGCCTCAGGCCTTGGCATGGCATCGAGAGGGAGAGTGGGCGAGGATTGCAAGATGAAAGGTCATGGGAGTGGCGGGAAAGGGGCCGGGGTGATGAGGGGGGGAGGTTGAAGGGGGATGTAGGCCGTGAGTGCGCGGGGCGACCGGTCAGTCTAGGAATGACGGAAAACAAACTCACATGCGTTGGCCGAGTGCAGAGTTTTGGACGACGGATCCGTCCGAGAACCTGCCCATCCGGATGGGCGACGACGTGCACTCGTCGATGGAGCCGCTTACGGTGCAGTCTGCGTTCAAGGCTGCGGTGGATCGTGCACCTTCGCGAGGTGCACTCCACCGCGAGATTGAGGGGACAGACGACTGGGAGACGCTCACGTACCAGCAGTACTACGACGAGGTCATCCGTGCGGCCAAGTCGTTTGTTGCGCTTGAAGTGCCCAAGGCGTCGGGTGTGTGCATCATCGGGTTTAACTCGCCCGAGTGGCTGATTGCGGATCTTGGGGCGATCCATGCCGGGGCGATTCCTGCGGGCATCTACACGACGAACAAGCCGGAGGCGTGCCAGTACGTGATTGACCATTGCAAGGCAACGATCATTTTCGTGGAGAACAACAAGCTCCTGCACCGGATCCTTTCGATCAAGGACGAGTGCCCGAACCTCAAGCACGTTGTGGTGTGGGGGAGGAGCCTGCGGCACCCGAGGGCGCTGCGGAGGACTACCTCTCGTCGGTCATGACGTGGACGCAGTTTATGGAGATTGGCGCCGAGATTGAGACTGCTGTCATTGACAAGATCACGGAAGAGGCGCAGGTGGGCACGTGCGCGACACTCATCTACACGTCGGGCACGACGGGGACGCCCAAGGCTGCAATGGTGTCGCATGACAACCTGACGTGGACGGCGAAGCTCGCGTACGAGCTCCTGGACCAGACGGACGCGTCGATCACGCTCTCGTACCTCCCGCTCTCGCACATTGCGGCGCAGATGCTGGACATCCACGGCCCGATTGCGTCTGCCGGCTCGGTGTACTTTGCGCGGCCGGACGCGCTCAAGGGCACGCTCGGGCTCTCGCTCAAGAAGGTGCGGCCGACGCTGTTCCTCGGCGTCCCGCGTGTGTGGGAGAAGATCATGGAGAAGATGCTTGCCATGGGCCAGCAGACGACCGGGTTCAAGAAGACGATTGCACAGTGGGCCAAGAAGAAGGGCCTCGAGGGCAACTACAACCGGCAGAACGGGTCTGGTGAGCCGTGGGGCTGGTTCTTTGCCAACATGCTTGTGTTTGACAAGGTTAAGGCTGCGCTCGGGCTCGACCGGTGCACGATCCGTGCCACCGGTGCTGCGCCGATCACGGTGGAGACGCTCGAGTACTTTATGTCGCTCGACCTCCCGATCATGGAGGTGTACGGCATGTCGGAGACGTCTGGCCTCATCACAGTCTCGCGGCCGCACCAGTACCGCACTAAGTCGTGCGGTGTGTGCCTGCCGGGCACCGAGGTCCGCCTTGCGGAGCCCGACGCCGACGGCAACGGCGAGATCATCACACGCGGGCGCCAGATCTTCATGGGCTACATGTTCAACGAGGAGAAGACGGCGGCGGCGTTTGACGATGAGGGCTTCCTCCACACCGGTGACGTCGGCAAGTTTGACGCCGACGGTTTCCTCTACATCACCGGGCGTATCAAGGACCTCATCATCACGGCCGGTGGCGAGAACGTCGCGCCGGTCCACGTCGAGAACCTTCTCAAGGCTGCCATGCCGTACCTTTCCAACGCGTTCTGCATCGGTGACCGCCGCAAGTTCCTCTCGGCGCTCCTGACGTTCAAGGTCGAGGTCGACGCCGAGACCGGCGTGCCGTCGAACCAGCTCACCGCGCCCGCCCGCGCCGCGCTCGCCGCCGAGGGCATCCAGGCTGCCACGGTCGAGGAGGCTATGGCTGACCCGCGCCTCGACGAGGTCGTCAACGCCGGCCTGGCCCGCGCCAACGAGAAGGCCATCTCCAACGCCCAGATGGTCCGCAAGTACGTCATCCTCCCCGAGGACTTTTCCGTTCCCGGCGGCACCCTCACGTCGACGCTCAAGTGCAAGCGCAACGTCGTCCTCTCCAAGTACGCCGAGATCATCGAGGACATCTACGCCTAGTGCGGTGGTGGCTTTGGCGTTTTCTCTCCCATTCCAGGTTAAACACATCATCACCAAGCTTCCACATGTGTGTGTGTGTGTGTGTGTGTCCGAAGCACCTGACTGAGTGCGACCTGTGGAGTGCGACAGTGGTTTGGGGCGGGGTGCGGGCGCACGCAGTCTCGCCCACCTGTCTTGTCTGCCATCGTCATGCACATTGAACTTGATGCCGAGTACGGCTATGTGGTATGTTTTGTGATGCATAGGGCAGGGGCAGGGGTGGGCGGTGGTGGGTGCCGGGGGGAGGTGCGGGGACAAAGCTGGGGGACAACACACTGACTGACACGGACCTTTCCCGGACGGTGGATGATGATGTGGGCAACGTGTGGCGGTGTGGGCGATGTGTGGTGGTGTGGGCGATGTGTGGTGGTGTGGGTGAGGCATGCAGATCCTCGCCACCATCGGCCTCATGATCACCAACCTGCTGCTAGGCGAACGAGTGGCCTTGGCCCGCAAGAAGTACCACGTCAAGCTGCCGGCCATGTACGGGCCGGACACCAAGGAGGGCAACGCGTTCTCGCGCATTCAGCGCGGGCATCAGAACTTCCTCGAGACGCTCCCGGACGTCTTTGTCGCCCATCTCATCTGCGGCCTCACTCGCCCACTCCTCACCTCGGCCATGTGCGCACTGTACATCGCCGGCCGCTTTGCCTACGCTTATGGCTACGCCTCGGCGCCCAAGCTCCGCCTCTACGGCACACCGTTCATCGTTATCGCCCGCCTTTTCCACCTCTATGGCCTTGGCGAGATGGTGTATTCCATGCTCTACGCCTCGTCGTCGCCGCAGTGAGCGCCCCGAGCCATCGCGCCGTCCAGCCATTGCGCCCCAAGGCCGAGCAGCCCCCGATCATTGGATTACATCAGCGGCTGGATTCTCCCCCATCCCCCCCCCCCCCCCCCCCCTCCGTCCTCCGTCTCTCACTACCTGACCGGCCGCTGCCCCTCCCTGCCCCCCTCCCACCCCCCGCCCCCTTCCCGCCTCCACCCACAGCGTGCACAGCCTACTCTTCTCAGTTCCACTCTCCTTCTCATGGCCGACGCCGCAGCTGGGTTCGGCGCTGCCTCGCTGCGGTATGAGGAGGCGCTGCAGCGGCAGGTGCGGCAGCTGTCGGCGGGCGTGGCTGCCGCTGAGGCGTGCGTCGGCCGCCGAGGACGCTGCCGTGGCCGTCGCCGAGGCTGCCGACGCCGAGCATCGAGCGCTGCAAGAGGCGCTCGACGCGGCGCTGAGCAAGGTCAGCTCGCTTAAGGCGCGCAACCGCGAGCTGGAGGCCGAGGCGGCGCGAATGCCGTCGCTCGAGGCACGTCTGCGCGAAGCCTGGGAGCGCATCGCCGGCCTGGAGGCCGCTCTCGATGCACAGCCCGACTCTTCTGCTGGCTTTATCCCCCACCTGCTCCCGCCTACGCTGCTCCACCCTCTGGCGCATTCGATGCCGCTGGCACAGAGCCCGGCCTGCCACAAGCCGTGGCCGCGCGATCAGGTCTCACAGCCGGGGCTCAGCCCCGTCGTCCATGCCCACGGGCACACTCGCCGACCGAGGCAAAGTCCCGGCCTCGGCTCTGGGCAGCTTGTTGCCCAGCAGCAGGTCAACGCGCTGGAGGAGCTGCTAGAGGCCTCGCTTCAGCAGTATGAGGCTGCAGCGGCCGAGGCAGCGACGCTGCGGGCGAGCATCAACAGCGCTGCTGCCGCTGAGCGGCGGGGAGCAGCACAAGCGGCGGGGCAGCGGGAGCAGCGACCACCAGCGAAGCGGCAAGTGCAACGGCTGCGGATGCTGTCGCAGCTGCGATGGAGGCGGACAAGTTGCGGGCCGAGCTCGTCCTAGCACGGCGTGAGCTGGCCAAGAGCGCGGCCGAGGCCCGCGAGGCGCTCGCCGGGCGCGACGCTGCCATTGCCGAGCTGCGGGCCAAGCTCGACATGCAGTTGCGCGCGTCGCAGCGGGCTCATCAATAAAGCCATGACGTTAGGCCGGGGCGGGCGCTTTGCGAAACACCACATACCAGTTGTCGCGATCGTAGCGCGACTCGACGACGTCGACGCCGTCGAGACCGTCGACGAGGGCGTCGAGCTCGCCGGCGCGGAACAGGTGGTAGTAGCGGTAGAGGATGACGTTGCCGGTAGGATCACGCGGAAGGTCGGCGTGCTGAGGCCCTTGGAACCGCGGCGCCAGCTTCCATGGCACAAACGTGTCCTGCCCGTCAAAGGTCCGTGCCTCCTGCTCAAAGGCCCAGACAGTGACGAGCAGTGTGCCGCCCGGGGCGACGCAGCGCAGCATCTCGGCAACGGCGGCGCGACGTGCGGATGGCTCACGGACGTGGTGCAGGGCGGCGATGCAGATGGCATGGTCCAGCGCGCCATCACGCAGCGGGAGATCCTTGAGGTCGGCGCGGACCAGGCCCTCGCCCGAGCCCTGGGTCGGGCCCACGGCGGCGGCGGCGGCCTCGGCAAGCAGGCCAGCGGAGCGGTCGAGGCCGACCATGAGCAGGCGGCGATTGCAAGCCATGTACTTGCCGTTGCCGCATCCGATGTCGCCGACCACAGCCCCGTCCGGCAGCGCCTGCAGGTGCGCCTCGACGAGCGGCCAGCCCGAGTGCCGGGTGGCCGAGAAGTGGGCGGCGATGGCGTCGTAGACGTCGCCCACGTAGACGGCCTCGACCTCGGCCCCGGGCAGCTCATCCAGCTCCTCACTCCGCGGTGCTGCCGCCTCCACCGCCGCTGCCGCTGCTTCGGCCTTGGCTGCTGCTGCTGCTGCCGCCGCCGCCGCCTCAGCCTTGGCCTTGGCCGCCGCCGCCGCCCGCTCTGCCGCCGCCGCCCGTCCGGCCACAATCCGCTGCGCCCGCTCTGACGAGCGATCAAGATGGACGTCCTCGCACGCGTCACCCCGCCCACACCCGCCTACCGCCTCCAAATGAGCAAAGCAGATGCGTGTCTTGGCCGCCATCCCGATCGATCCGGTCCCGCCACAACGACGACTGCGACAAGTGTGCCGCAGCAGCCAGCCAGCGGGACCAGCGGCAGTCGCCGTCCGTCAGCACTCTGCCGGCGGCGATCACGATCACGATCATGATCACCGCTGCCACCACCCCACTCACCCCCACCGCCCCCCCCCCCCCCCCTCCCCCCTCCCCAACCCACACCATGGCCTCTGTCTCCCGCTCGGAACGTCTCAAGGCGCAGCTGGAGCGCTCGCGGGCGCTGGAGCCGACGCCAACGCCGCCGTCCGGCACGGCAGGCCAGGGACCGGGTGGACCGGGTGGACCTGGCGAGGCCGCCACGCCACCGTCGTCTACCCCGTCGGGGACAACCTCCACCCCAACCATCTCCACAGCGACTTCGCCCACGTCTGCCACGCCTCCGTCGTCCACTTCTGCCACGCCCGTGTCCTCATCCCCCGTCACGGCCACGCCGGCGTCCGACTCTGCGTCTCCGGGCGAGGTCCTCGAGTCGCCGTCAAACACCATCGCGCGGCTGATGGCGGAGCGCCTGAAGGAGATCCTCGAGGCTGCAGCTAATGGAAGGGCCTTGCTGGGTGACGTGGGCTCGGACCCGGTCTTCCGCGTCCTCTTCAACCGCTACAAAAAGATGGTCTCGTCCGAGTCGCCGCTCGCAGCTGTTCCGACCGCCCTCGCCCCGTTCTTTGCCCCGCTTGGCATCTCAGTCCAGGGCGGGGGCTCGACGGGCGAGCCGGTCTCGTTTCTCCTTACTTCGGCTATTATTGTCCAAGCCAAGGCCACCCTCGATCGCGTCAGCGAGTCCAAGCGCGCCGCCCAGGACGCGCGCTCGGGCGTGCAGGTTGCCGAGACGAGGGTCAAGGTGCTCCGCGCCGACCTCGCTTCCGCCCGCGCCACGCTGAAAGAGACCCAGGACGAAGTCGCCGCCCTGCGCAAGGCGCTGGCTTTGATGAACGCTGAGACGCAGGCGGCTGTTGCCGCTGAAAGCCGTGCCATGCAAGACGTCCTTCACGCTGCCGAGAACAAGCGCGAGGCCAAGGCGGCCAAGAAGCGCATCCGCGCCCAGATCAAGGCTCTCACGGCTGCCTCCTCTTCGCAGGCCTTGGTCGACGACATCGATGGGGGAAAGTCTGCTTTGGCGACGTCCACGGAGCCTGCTCGCACCGACCCGCCTGTGGTCCTCACTGCCGACAAGCTCCGCGAGGTCCGCCAGCTCCTCGACCTTGAGCACATTGCCCGCAGCCGCGCCCAGGTCATCGGCAAACTTCCATCGACGTCAGGCAACGCTCACAAGAAGGCCCAAGCCAAGGCCGAGGCCATGCAGGCTGTCTTTGCCGTCCGCTCTGCCCGCGAGGCCGATCCCTCCGCGTGGGACGCCGCTGTTGCCGCGCTGGAGCGTGTCTCGTTCGACGCCACTGGCGATGAAGACCGCGCCGCCGCAGCCACCGATGCTTCCGCTCCTGACAACGTTGCTCCCGCGGGGATGGCGCTGTCGGTCCCTGCGCCCCCTTCCGCCTCCAAAGCCTCGCCGTTTGCCGGCCTCGCCCTCGAGCCGGTCGACTTTGAGAGCGCCGGCACACTTGTCCGCCTCGCGCCGGACGTCCCCTTCCGTCACAACCACACCCTCACGGCAGTCCAGCGCGGCACAGGCTTTAGCCTCCCGGAACGGCTCGTCGACGCCTTTGAGCCGTACGCGGCGCCGACTTTGGCCACCTTTGATGACTTTGCGGCCGCCGCTGTTGCCGGCGAGCCGCTCGATAGCCTCGACGTCGAGATTGAGCCTTCGCTGACGGGGGCCTTGCTTCTGACACGCTACCCGTCGTCTGGCCTCCTCCCGCTTCCTGCCTCTGGCCGCGTCCGCCCCACTCCTGTCAACGCCGACACTGCCGAAGACCGGCTCTACGTCCTCGGTACCAACACCTCGGTCGTCCGGCTTTGCCTCGCCATCGAGTATCGCAAGCGCCAGGCGCTCAAGTACGTCTCGCAGGACCCGACGCTTGCCGCCATGCACGAGATCTGCGTCTCGTTTCACTGCCTCTACACTATGTACAAAGCCGGCGCCGTCGCCGAGGACCGCCTCGCTGCCGCCGCCCAGGTCGCCCGCTCTGAGCTCCGCGACATCATCGCCACTTTTCCACCCTGCTCCGCCGATCACACAATCTGTCACTGGCACGAGTCGACCCTCTGCCCCTGCTCAAGCAGTGCTCGCTCGCTCTGCCGATGCTGGCTCCCGCTCGCCGTCGTCGCTGCCGCGCACCGCGACGGTCGTTGGCTTGATCGCCTCTTCGACGGGCTCGGCCATTGCGAGCAGTGGTTTTGAGGCAAATGTAAAAAAATTGTATGCCACAGTCGCAGTCGAACCAACAACACTCCGGATTTCCCCCCGTCTTTGCACTTTAGCCACATCCTGCCCCCACTCTTCCCCCCACTCCCATTCCACCACATCCTGGGATGCGCACAGCTATGTCGATGAATGCAGCATTCGCACAGGCATAAAAAAAAATCTCTGGCAAGCCAGAGACAGTATGTGGAGGAGGCAAGGATCGAACTCGCGGCATCCAACATGCAAAGCTGGCGCTCTACCACTGAGCTACACCCCCAAACTGATTCCAGACACCGTTCACAGTAGTTATTAACCCGTACAGCGCATTGCCCTTGCTCTTCCATCCGCTTCCCAGCACACTCTCCCGCTGCTGCACTCGCCAAATCCTCCTTCCTCCTCCCCTGATCAACCCCTTTACATCCGCGACGAGCCTTGCCATGTCGCCAACAACCTCTCATTCTCTCTCTATCGACCGCGACACCTCCGCCACCCGGTCGCCAATACGGCGGACTGTTCCTGGGCGGCGAAATGGGCTCCGCGGCTGGCGTGCACATGGCTGCGCCACGGCGGCACCACCGGGCACGGCGGCGTTACGGACGGTGGCCACCACTACCACCGTCGTTGCATTTGACTCACCCAGAGAAGCATAGCGCATGGGAGGAGGGCAGTCGGTCGAGGCGCCGCTCGAGCTTGCAGAGCTCCCCACCGAGCTGTTCCTTGCGCCGCTGGGCGAGGCGCTCGCGGCGGCTCGGGCGGCGGAGACGGGCATTGCTCGCGCTTCCAAGCGCGTCAAGCTCACCACCTTTGACGCCGCCTTCTCGGGCGCCGAGGGCCTAGACTGGGCCCGTCGCTTTGTCGCTGCCCGCATCGCCGAGCGTGAGAGCCCTCCGCCGCTGTCCGCTGCCGTCGCCGACGGCTGGGCCCTGCTCCTCGCCGCCGGCCTCGTTGTCCCGCTCTCGGCCTCGGCCTCGCCTGCTTTGCTGGGCTCATCAGCCTCGTCGGGCTCATCGAGCCCGCGCGCACGCGCATCATCGGCACCAACTCTCGGTGAGGCGGCATCCGGGCCTGGGCTTGTCGACTCGGACAAGGCGCTGTATCGGTTTATCATGGACGATCCCAAGGCCGACCTCAATCTCCGCGTCCTGTTTGTGGGCGAGCCGGGCTCGCCGCACGCCGTGGCTGACAAGCTGAAGAAAGCGTGCCTCTCACTCTATGGTGCATTTCTCGCCGATGACGGCCGCAGCCTCGACCGCGAAGGCATGATGTCCTCTGAGGCTTTTGCTGCCTTTGAGGCCGACATTGCCGAGCTGCAGCGGGTTGACCTCGCCGCTCTCGGCCCTGACGACCGCATCGCCTTCTTTATTAACGTCTACAACATTCTTTGCATCCATGCCCAGTTTGTATTTGGTCCACCGTCATCGGTTCTTGCCCGGCGCACCTTTTTCAAAAGGGCCCGCTACACCATCGCCCTCCACTCGTACTCGCTCGACGACATCGAGCACGGAATTCTGCGGTGCAATGTGGGCGGCCACTTTACAGACGCCGACGATCCGCGGCTTGCCCTCTGTCCGCCGCGCCGCGATCCGCGCATCCACTTTGCTCTCAACTGTGGCGCCGAGTCCTGCCCACCCATCCGCGTCTACGACGCCGACAAGCTCGACGCACAGCTCACACTCGCGGCCCAGTGCTTCTGCCAATCCGAGGTCTCGATCGAACCGCAGCCGTCGGCCTCGAATGAGCTCATCCTCTCCATGTCCAAGATCTTTATGTGGTACCACAATGACTTTGGCGCCACAGATGCTGACATGCTGGCGTATCTTATGCCGTTCCTTCCACCTCACGCTGCCGAGATCATCGCCGAAGCACTCGCCTCGGACACCACGTTCAAGATCGAGTACAACTCGTACTCTTGGAAAGCCATGTAAAGTGTCGATTGGTGTTGTGATGGAGCATGCTGGCGCACTTGCGTGCTACAGGCTTGCCACATGTGGAGGCCATCATCGGCGTCATTACCATCATCATGCATCATGATCAAGTTCGTCATTGCCATCCCCCTCCCCCCCCCCCTTCCGCCGAGTGACTGCGACTGTAGTGGCTGGCAGTGGCTGGGAGGGGCCACACAGGGCCAGGGAGAGAGCAGCGGCGGGCTAACGATGACAGAAATTAATCCGTTCCGTTTCTTCCCCCCCCTCCCCCCCATACCTCCTCCGCCCATCACACAACCGCACCCCGCCGACCTGCGCTAGAGGCTGCACCACTCCTCGCGCAGCAAGCACTATGGCCGCAGCGGAGGAAGGGGACTACTACTCCCACTACTACTACTCGGAAGAGTGTACGTCAACAAACTAGTTGCTTTAGCCCAGGAGGGGAGGGAGGGTGTGAGGGCGGGACGAGGCTGGAGCGGGTGGCGAGCAGGCGGCCAACCGCAGTCGAAAAAGCAAAGTCCGTTCGGCGGTGGTGGTAGGCGGCCGGCCGGCCGGCCGAGCGGGCGAACGGGCGGGCGGACGGGCGGGAGGGGCGAACGGGCGACGGTCGGCATGGGCGGGCGGGCGGGCGGGCGGGTAGCCGGGTGCAGGTAGCAGGCTATGGGCGAGAAACAATAGTGACTTACTGTAGAGTGACTATGGCAGTTGGTGATGATGCGTACTACTCCAACTACTACTACTCGTCGTCGTCGGAAGAGGTGGTCCAGCGGCCGGCTGGCTCCATCGCTCTGCCTGCCCTGCCGGGCTCACCGGCGCCTGCCGGTGATGCTGCTACCGCTGCGCGCGCGCCCTCTCAGCTGGGCAAACGCACGGTGACGGGCATGCTTGGCGACCGGACGACGACCGGGCTTGGCGGGCGGACGACGACGGGGCTCGGCGGGCGGACGCTGTCGGGCGTGTCGATGATGACCGGTGAGCTGCCGGACCGGACGACGACGGTGTACGTGAACTTCAAGGGTGTGGACCCGCCGAAGGATGGCGGAAAGGCCAAGGCTCCGGAGGAGGTTGTGTACTACAACCAGAAGATGACGGCGATCATGGAGCACTTTCAGTCCGAGGTGACGCAGGGTCTTGCCACGGCGGAGGCCAAGCGGCGGCTGGAGAAGTGGGGCGTCAACTCGCTTCCGTCGCCGCCGCCCAAGCCGTGGTGGCGGATTCTTGCGGGCCAGTTTGGCGACTTTATGATCATGGTCCTCTGCTTTGTGGCGCTCTTTGAGCTTGTGCTCCAGGAGTGGATCGAGGCCTCTGTCCTCATCATTGTGGTTCTCATGAACGTCATTGTCGGCTTCCAGCAGGAGGTCAAGGCTGAGCGCGCGCTTGCGGCGCTCGAGTCGCTGACTGCGGCACAGGCCAAGGTCTTCCGCGACGGGGCGTGGCTCAACCTGCCGTCTGCCGAGCTTGTGCCTGGCGACATTGTGGCGCTGGAAGAGGGCGACCTTGTGCCGGCGGATCTGCGCCTGTTTGAGGTCAACGGCCTGTACGTGGACGAGGCGCGCCTGACGGGCGAGGCCGAGCCTATCGAGAAGATCGACGAGCGCATCATGCACGACGGCATCGGTGTGCTTACCGTCGGCGACCGGCGCAACATGGCGTTTATGTCGACGCTGGTCACGTCGGGCGTGGCGACTGCGGTCGTGGTCAACACGGGCTCGCGGACGCAGATCGGCAAGATTTCGTCGGCTCTCGCGGAGAAGACCGATAAGGAGTCGCCCATGCAGTCCAAGCTCGAGCGACTTGGCAAGATCCTGGTCTTCCTCTCGGTCTTCCTCTGCCTCCTCGTCATTGCCATTGGCATCATCCGGGTCCGCGCCGAGAAGGGTCGCGTCCGTGGCGAGGACTGGCGCGCGTGGTTCAAGGTCGGCATCTCGCTTGCCGTCGCCGTCATTCCCGAGGGCCTTGTGGCCGTTGTCACCGTGGCTCTCGCCGTCGGCGTGCAGCGCATTTCCAAGGTCAACGCCATTGTCCGCAACATGTCTGCGGTGGAGACGCTCGGCTCGGTCACCGTCATCTGTTCGGATAAGACCGGAACGCTCACCGAGGGCAAGATGCGGTCGGAGGAGCTCATTGCGGGCTCGGTGGTTTACGGCATTGCCGGCACCGACATCATTCCCGAGGGTGAGGTGACCCGCAAGTCGTCGGGCGACCTCCTCCCGGCTGACAACTACCGCGAGCTCCCGCCGGCGGTCTACCGCTCCATGCAAGTCTGCGCCCTGTGCAACAACTCGTCGCTGGGCTTCAACACCGAGCGCCGCGAGTGGGAGTACACCGGCGACCCGACCGAGGTTGCCCTTGAGGTTGCCGCCCGCAAGCTCTCGCTCGGCGCCGAGGTCTGGTCGTCGTCGTTTGGCTACGAGAAGGTCTTTGAGATTCCGTTCACCTCGGACCGCAAGCGCATGACGGGCGTCTTCCGCTCGACGGGCAAGGGCCCGATGGGCGAGAAGGCCAACTCGGGCGTCGTTGTTGCCAAGGGCGCCATGGGCTTCCTCCTCCCGGCCTGCACTTCGTTCCTCAACGACGGCGGCGACGTTGTCCCGCTCGACGACTCGATCCGCGAGTCCATCGAGACGCACAACCATGCGCTTTCCGGCCGCGGCCTCCGCACGCTCGCCCTCGCCTACCGCGACGTCTCGCGCTCGGAGCTTGCCCGCCTCGACGACTCAAACCCCGACGCCGTCGAGTCAAACCTCATTTTCTGCGGGCTCATTGCCATGCGCGACCCGCCGCGCGAGTCGGTCAAGGGCTCGATTGCCGTGGCGCACGGCGCCGGCATCCGCATCACCATGATTACCGGTGACCACCCGACGACCGCATCTGCCATCGCCAAGCAGCTCGGCATCATCAAGGAGGATGAGGATCATCTGGTTGCCACCGGTGCGTGGGTCGACTCGCGCTCGACCGACGACCTCGTCAACATGACCGAGTTCCCCAAGGTCTTTGCCCGCGTCTCGCCCGCCAACAAGCTCGCCCTTGTCCGCGCTCTCAAGGCCCGCGGCAACATTGTGGCCATGACCGGCGACGGCGTCAACGACGCCCCGGCCATCAAGCACGCTGACGTCGGCGTCGCCATGGGCCAGACCGGTACCGACCTCACCATCCAGTCGGCCGACATTGTCCTCCTCGACGACGACTTCAACACCATTGTCTTTGCTGTCGAAGAGGGCCGCCTCGTCCGCGACAACCTCATGACGTACCTTGCGTACCTGCTGGCCTGCAACGGGTCAGAGATTATGACCATGATGGCCATGGCCATTGCCGGCCTTGTCCCGCCCTTCTCGCCCGTCGCCATCCTCTACGCCAACGTCATCATCGACGTCCCGCCGTCGCTCGCCCTCGGCATTGACGTCAAGTCGGAGGGCCTCATGCATCGCCTGCCGCGCGACCCCAAGGCGGCCATCCTCTCGATCCGCTCGGTTATCGTTGTCTTCCTCCAGGCCTGCTCCATCTCGGTCTGGACCGTCATTGTCTACCTCCTCGCCATCTACGTCCACAACTACGAGCTCGACAACGACGACCTCGAGGCCCGCTCGCACGCCCGGTCGCTCGCCTTTGTCACCCAGGCCTGCATCCACCTCTTCCACTCGTACCCGGCCCGCTCCATGTCGCAGTCGGTCTTTAACAAGGCTGCCCTTGGCAACAAGGTTCTCAACTACGGCATCGGCATCTCGCTTGCCATCCTCATCATCATCTGCTACATCCCGGGCCTTGGCCCCGAGCTCGACCAGTGGCCGCTCAACGTCCGCGACTGGGCCTACGTCATCGGCGCCGTCATCATGCATCTGCTCGTCACCGAGGTCATCAAGTCCATCCTCGTCCGCAGCATTTTCCTTGCTGATGCCGACAAGGTCGACGAGTCGGTCGATACCGGCAAGCCCAAGTTCTTCAAGGACATGTAAGTGGTGCTCTCAGTTTGCAATAAAACACTCTACCAGTTACTGTATCCAGTCAGTGGGAGCGCGCTACCGCCGAAAGCCCTCGACCCAGGACTCGAGCGGATCGACAAAGCCGACGACGCCCTCCTCGACCAGCACGTGCTCGAGGGCGTCCGAGCCGACGCCGCCGGCCGAGGTGATGACAACCCGGGCGCGGACGCCGAGTGCAGACGCGATCTTGGCCCCAGTGTAGCGCGAGCGGAGCGCCGAGCCGACGGCTGGCACCCCGCTGGAGCCGTAGACGACGACGTTGTGCCCGCCGTCGGCCACAACAAACTGCGCGCCCCGGGTGGTGGCATCCATCACAGCCCGGCGCGAGAGTGGAAGCACGCCGCGGCGGCCAACCACCTCCTCACTCTCCCAAGCCACAAGGACAGGGTACAGGCCAGCGAGCACAGCGCGGGCATCGCCGAGAATCCAGGCGGCAGCGTCGCGGACGCCGCCGTCGCCGAGCGAGTCGCGGTTCGCGGAGCGCACGCACAGTGCATGCGCCACACGAAGAACGTGCGCGAGCTGTGGCGCGCCAACCTCGGCCAGCCGCTGCAAAAGCCCGCCGCTGCCCACGGCCACGTTGGGCACCAGCCGCTCGATGTCGGTCACCATGCCGCCGATGACCTGCGCCACCGCGTCGGCCGAGTGCTCGGCGCCAAGCGCCGAGAGGGCAAGGACCTTGGCCACAGGCGCGACCGCCATCGCAGCAAGCACGTCCCACGGCGAGGTGGCGAGCGACGCCGGCCGTGCCGAGACAACTCGAACCACAGGCACCATCCGCTTTGCGCTCGGAGAATAGACCAGCCCGCGGACCGCAAGCTGGACAATAGGAAGCGCAGGTAGCTTGGCCGACGCTGACTCGTACTCGAGCTCGACGACTAGGCCGGTGTGCACGCGGACAGCGCCGGTGCTGACCCGCGAGGCGACAAGCTCGTCAGCGGTGCAAGGCCCCGAGACGAGCCGGGTGCGGAGGCCGGTCGAGAGGCGGACGACAACTTGGGCGTCGTGCAGGATGTGGCCGCGGCTCTCGGCACGGCCGGCAAGAAACAGATCCTGCGGTAGCTCCGACGACGCGCCGCTTCCGGCCCCCATGGGCAGGTCGTACACCCCGAGGGCGCCGCCGGAGGCCGTGGCCAGGCCGGCGACGGCACCAAGGCCGATGGGTCCATTGAACAGCCGCAGGCCGTAGACCGAGACGGCGACACCGAGCTCGGCAGCACGCGCGCCAAGCGCCTCGTAGCCTCCAGACGCAACGTCGCGGGCGCTCGAAGCCAGCACCACGTTCACCGCCACCGTGTAGTGCTCCGATGTGGGAGAGGCCTCGACGAGGTCGAGGACGGCGGCAAAGGCGCCGGCCAGATCGGGAGCTCGCTCGGTTGCAGCCGCCAGCGCCGGCGCCGGCGCCGGACCCAGACCGGAAAGCGCGGCCGCCAGCGTCTCGTACGAGCTCGCCTTTTCGGCGACGAGCCAAGGCCAGTCGACGACGTCGATGAGGGGGACGGCGTCGTCGCCGGCGCACGTCTCGACCCATCGGAAGACTGGCAACTCGGCGGTGTCATGGGTGACGGCAGCCAAGCCCATGCGGCAGCCGTCGAGCGCAATGAGGCCGACATGGGCGCCGGATGGCAAGCCTTCCAGCCCGCCGAGGAGGGAGGCTTGGACGTGAGCCAGTGTCTCTGCATCGGCGGTGACGTCGACCAGGTAGATGACCGCCAGGGCGGTGGTTAGACTCGCTGCAAGATCCACCTCGCCAGCATCAGTAAGCGCATCCAGATCCATGTCGACGTAGTCAACCACCGCTGACGCCAGCTCAGGCTGCTTGCTCTGGGATGCTGGCGTGGCGTAGCGAGCAGCAAGCACCGGTGTAGCCGGATCGTTCCAGGCGGTACACAGAGCACATCGCCAGCGACCACGATGCGCCCGAGCAGCTGAGAATGAACTCCACGGAGTCATGTAGCTCCGGCAGCCCTCGCATCGGGCACACTCATCCATTCCCAGCGTCGGCGCCGAGACCAGACCAGCCGCCTCACACTCGCCCGTCATCGGATCAGCCAGGACATACTCTGGAGCAAGCGGCGCCAATGCTGCAGCCACCGCCACAGGCACAGCATGAGCAGTCACGGCATCCTGAGGAAGGAGAGTGTGTGAGTGGCAGGGTGAGGGCGGAAGGGGGGGGGGGGGGAGGGGGAGGAGGGGGAGGGGAGGGTGACGGGGAGCGTACGGGCGGGAATGACGGTGTGGTCCAGGTGAGATCGGGTTGGAGGCGGAGATGTGATGAGGACTTGGTTTGGGACGGGGTGGAGGAGGAAGATGATCTGCTCATGTGATGTACGTTGCTGGTGATCGTCGTGTGTGTGAAGGGGTGATGGGGGTGGTGGCGGGGGGGGGGGGGGGGAGGGGAGGGGAGGGAGGGTGGAGTGAGGTGGTCGGCTACGGGCGAGGACTGGACAGCCAGGTGGTCAGGGATGGGCGGGATGTTGGGATCGGATACGGTGATGAGTGAGCAGAGAAGGGTGTGTCGTGGGGTGTGGGATGTGGGGTGGGGTGTGGGGTGTGTGTGGGGTGTGTGTGTGGGGGGCTCATCGGCGGTTTACAGCTCCGAGTGGTGGCCGAGGAGAGCGAGGGCGAGTGGCGATGAGGGTGCGAACCAGATGAGGTAGAGGTAGGACATGCCGATGAGCGAGCCAGAGGAGACGATGGCCGGGGAAGGGCGTTGCGGAGTGGGATGGTGCCGTAGACGAGGAGCTCGATGGCGTAGAAGCCGCCAGCAATGACAAACGAAGCCATGCAAACGATGAACAGGGCGTGATTGGAGGGATCAACAGCCGTGGCGATGCGGACACATGCCGCAAGTAGCGTCCACACAGCCCAGAGCCTCCCAGCCAGCGGACTGACCTGCTCCTTGGCCAGCGCAAACTGCTTCGTCTTTACCGTCTCCAGCGCAAAGTAGCCCTGCGAGGTGGCAAAGAGCGCAGCCGCAGACACAATGTACAGCCACACAGAGAGCACCGTACCAGCCTCGACCTCCATTTTCTCGTCCTGAAGGCAATAGAGGCTAGTGTAGAGAGGTGGCTCGGTGGCTCCAGTCTCCATCCGCCCTAGCTGCCGGCCATGGCTGTGTGTCTATCCAGGCCCGGGGGGGGGGGGGGGGGGCGTGGGAGCTGCTCCGATCACTGCTGGCGCCGATCGCGATCATAGTCGCGGCGATCGAGGACGAAAGGGCTTGAAAGCGGCCACCACCGTAGGCACCACCACCACCACCACCACCACCACCACAGCCAGCACACCACCGTCCTCACACGTCACACTTCACACACCAGCACCAGCACCTCTCCTCGTTTGCCCTTGCTATGGCTTCGCTGCGGTTTGTGTCCGAGGCAGAGCTGCGTGAGGAAGAGGCAGCCGGGAAGAAGCCCGTGGCGGCAAGCGGCCCGCGCCAGTCGCTCTACGCACAGCTGCAAGCTCAGCAGGAGGCCAAGGATGCCGAGTGGGCAGAGAAGCATGGGCCGAGCACAGACATTCCGCAGTACGATGACGACGACATCGCTTGGTGGAACGAGACCGTCCGCCTCCGCTCGGCTGCAGAGCGCCAGCGGGCCGACGACGAGGCCGACGCCGTCGCCCGCTTCAAGGCTGCACAGAAAGATCAGGTCATCGTGGCCCTTGCCGACGACGACGACGATGGAAACAACGACGACGATGGCTCGAAGGGCAAGAGTGAGGCTGGCGAGGCCGCAACCTCTTCGTCCGCTTCGCTTCCCTTGTCCGGCAACGCTGCCGCGAGCACTGTGCCCGCAGCGTCGCCCGCCGCCCCGCTTGGCCTTGCCCCGCGGTTCCAACTCCGTGTCAAACGCAAGCGCGATGCCGACAAGGCTGAACTCGATCCCGCGCCCGCTGCTTTGCCGCCGCCTTCCTCCCAGCCGCCACCCAAGCGTGCTCGGCCCAATCCGAGCCTCTCGGCCCTCATCGGCTTTGGATCCGACGACTCGGACTCGGACTCGGACTCGGACGCTGCGGCATGACGCCGCTGATCTGCTTGTCGGTGGCGCGTAGCTTTAAACAGGACGATGCCAGCATTCGGAATCAGCACACAGCCTCTACGTCTGCCCGCTCCGACAGCTCCAGTTTGGCTGATCGGCAAAGCGCAGCAGATCAACCGCAGTCAGCGCGTCAGAGTCTTGCAGCGGCGACATCTGACGCGTTTATCGCGGAGCATGTTCACCTCTATGCGGATGGTGCACACGTCGACGCGTGTGGGAGGCAAGGCGTCGAAGCCTCTGGTGTGGCTGCTCAACTCGGCAGCGGATGCGGTGTCGAGCACGGCGTCGGGCGTCAACACGGTGGTGTCATCAGCCGGCTCGGCTGTGGCAGGCACCATCGAGTCGTCAGCAAAGGCTGCCAAGGATGTGCTGCCGCAAGAGCCGCTGGTCCCGTTGCCCAAGGCGGCGACGTCGAGCCTCTCGGCGGCGGCGTCGCTGGTCAGGGTCGGCACCTCGCTGACCAAGTCGGCGCTGGGCGCTGCTGCCCAGCTTGGCGGTGCTGCCGGCTCGGTGGTGGGCTCGGTGGTGGTCGATGCCGTCTCGGGCCGCAATGGCAAGGGCTCCCAGGCGTCGGCGCTAGGAGACGCTATGGATCCCGAGCTTGTTCGTGCCGCTACCCGGCTGGCGTCGACGACGTCGTCAGCAGTCATGTCGGTGCTCGACACGGCTGAGGCGGCGTCGGCTACCGTCGTCGACTCATCGCTGGGATCGGTCTCGTCGCTTGTCGGCCAGACGCTTGGGCCCGAGGCCGGCGACGTTGTCCGCGCCAACCTCACGGTGGTCAACGACGCAGTCAAGACCATGTACAAGGTCAAGTCGTTTGGCATCCGCAAGATGGCCTCGTCGTCGGCCAAGTCGTTCCGCGACCAGGCCCTTCGCTCTGTCCTTGTGCTCTCGCCCGAGGTCGTCGCCGCCGCGCAGCCGTCATCCTCGAGCCACGTCCCGATTCCGCTAACCGACTCTGAAGATCTTGTGGTGATCCCTCTCATGACCGCCTCCAACTACACCCACTCTCGCCCAGTCCGCTTCCCGCAAGCACACCAGCTAAAGTAGCCTGCCAAGTCGCGATCAGGCCCCTCCGATTCACCCAAAGCTGCTGCCGTCACGCAGCCGTCATCATAGGACCACGTCCCTCCCCCCCTCCCCCCTCCCCCCCCTCCCCCCTCCCCCGGCCAGGCAACTCTGAGGACGTAGCCGACTGGCGAGTCCGACCAAGTCGGCAGCACTCGGCAGTCGGCGAAACGCCTGAAATGGAATTTTGGCATGGCTCGGCTGGCTGGCCTTGTGCCGGTTTTTGGCGACATTCGACTCCCCTCGAGACCGGGGAGAGGAGGAGCAAGACATGGCGTTGTCAAGAGCCTCAGACAACGTAGTGGTACGTCGACAGCAAGTTTGAAGGCGACCATGTGCCTGCCTGCCTGCCGAGGTGTAGGGGATATATAGAAGGGCCAGAGGAGGTAAAGGGAGAAGGGGGGAGGGAGGGGGGGAAGGCGGGGTCACAGGCGCTCTTCGCCGCGGGGGTTGGTGGCATGTTGTCGGTGGGAGAAAGCCCTCCCCCCCCCGCGCGTGCCGCTGGAAGAGCAAACCGTTCCGTTTCTAGCGAAAAAAAAGGGGCAAACACACCTGTAGCTGTACTCATGGCGTTCGGGAATGGTGACGACTGGTGTGTGTATGTGTGTGTGTGTGGTGGGGGGGA